TTATGAGCAGTGGGCAGAGCAGTTGGGAGATCTTGCAATGAACTTCCAAAAATGATGGTGGCCTGGGCGAAGGTGGTGACAATGGAAGTAGGGGAAAGTGGGGAGAAGTAGATAATGTGACCTGTGTTTGGGGGTAGAGGTGACAGGATTGGAAGGAGGAGGTGGAGGAAAGGAAGACACTAAACTTAGGTTTTCAGCCTGAGTGTCTGAATGAATTATGGTGGCATTTACCAGGATGAGGAAGCCAGGGAGGAGCAGATCTGTGAAGAGAAATCCATCATGTGTGACATGTCTGTGTCTGTATCTGTGTGCACCCATACCAGGGCCTAGGTGTGCATGTGTGCACATAGGATCTACGACCTCCTCACAATCCTGGGACATCCAGACCACCTCTGCTTGGACGTGTGGGGGCTCCTGGATCTGTCCTGGGACCAGGCTCTATCTTGGCTTTTACCAGCCCCTAGGGCTGTCCCTGCCAGATGGGGATTCCCAGTGGCCAGCTGGGGTAATGGGAGGGCCCTTGAGCGCTGCCAACATCTGGGCCTATTACCCCAAGCCCAGGAGGCCTTGCTAGCCCCACCCGGCAGCAGCAGGCGGGCTCCAGGGCAGCTGGTGGCGATTAGCAGCACTGATTACCTCGTGGCGATGCCATCTGGGGTGAGGGCACCGAGCCCAGCCCCACGGGATACCCTGCTTGCCGGCATGCAGGGCCTTCTGGGCTGAGTGCATGTGAATGCATCAGCATTGCTGCATGTATGTATTTACATTCATATACATATGGCAGCCAAGTTCATGTCTGAGGATTGTATAGGAGCTGAGTCCATGTGGTCACCTGTCTGTGTGTACATATATGTGCATGAGATCCATAGACATCTCTGCTTGCGTGTCTGAGTAATTATGCCTGTGGATACATGTCTATGTATATGTCTGTGTACATATCTGTGTCTGTGTACTTGCATGTGACTGTGAACATCCAAATTCAGACAGTGCTGTACACATGCATTCTTTTTTTTTTTGTGGTGCTGGGGAGTGAACCCGGGGTTTAATGTACACTGGCAAGCACTCTACCATTGGATTAACATTCCCCAGCCCATTTTTACTTTATTTTGAGACAGAGTCCTACTATATTGCCCAGGCTGGCCTTGAACTTGCAATCCTTCTGCCTCAGCCTCCCAAATAGCTGAGATTACAGGCACTGCATGCGCTCTGAGAATTATTAGTTGTCTGTGTGTGGGTATGTCCAGGGATATAGTCCTGTGAGGCCTATATGTGTCTTTCTGTATCTATTTAGGAGGAGGTGTGCTCTGTGGTGTGTGCACATGTCTGCGTGAACATGAATGCTGATACATGCATGTGGAATGTGCTGTGTGAAAACATATATAACTGTGTGCACATATATGTCAGCGGAAGAGACAAGGCATATTTCTAGACTGTGTCTATGATGGTAGATCTGGTGTGTCCCGGGCTTGGTTATCTTGTGAGCCTCCTTGGGGTGCTATGGGAAGGTCTCTGAATTCCCCCTTGTCGGGTTCCTGTATCCCTGGGTCTGGCTGCTCTGGGCCAGCCACCCCATGCCTGGGGCATGAGCTGGGGAAGGGTGGGCGTGGTAGGATGGCACAGGGGGTACTGATGTGATCTTGGGCAAGCTGTATTGTCCCTATGTTTCTCTTTCTCATCAGCAAGATGGGGAGACCAGAGAATGTGGCCGCACAGGTTGCTGTAAAGATGAAAGACATGTGGAATAGCACATGTGGAATTCTTAGAACATAGCCTGACCTGTGTGTGTTCCCTGCTTTTCCTGAGTGCATCCCTAGGCAGTACTCCATGGGCAGGCCCAGCTTCATCTGCCCACTCCTCCCCCCAGAGGTTCTGAAAGCCCCACCCCCTGCCTTTGCCGCCTGCTGAGCTCAGCACTTCCCAGGCCCACCACTGCCACCACCACATCTGGGCCCAGCTCAGTGCAGGAACCACAGTGGGGCGCCTCTGTGGTGTAGCTGGGGTTTCCACTGACTCAGCTTCTCTGGGGCTGGAGGTGGGAAATCCCAGGCCTGTCCTCCCCCTGCCTGGGTTAGATGGAGCCACAGGGCTACAGCTGTACTGCCTGTTTCAACAGGAAGCCCACCCCCAAAAGCGAGGTACTCGAGGTACTCCCGTTGCTCTCCCTTCAACCCCCACATCCAGCCTACATTCACTGGACTCTTGAGCTCATTTCTCTATGGCTCCCCAACGTTGGTGTCAAGAAATTTGTTTGCTGCTTCCAGGGGGGACTCCTGGGGTGGGGGTTCACCCAGTCAACTTCCCCTATCCCTTCTTCCTCCCAAGTACAGTTTTTCACTCAACCTCAATTCCTTTTTGCCTCCTGGATACAAAGCAACCTGGTGGACAAGTTCTACACCCATCCCTACACCACCCCACTCCATTCTCTGCCAGTGATCCCAATAATGAAAACAGCAGCAAATATTTCTCCTCTTTTGTGCCAGACCGTGTCTAAGCACTTTTACAGACTTGAACTCCTTGAATTTCCTTTAACAAAGCTACTGTCACTCTCCCATCTTACAGATGCACATGTAGAGTCATAATTAAATAGTACATTCCATGCCACAAACCCCAAGCCTGGAGGCGGGGGCTGAACCCTTCTAACCTCATGCAGCAAGGAGGAATTCTCTGGGCTCCACTTCTTTGGAAATGAGGCCAGGACAGAAGGGGTTAATTTAGCACAGGAATAGAGGTGGGGGGATTCTTCTCCCCCCGCCCCCCCCCCTGCAGACAGAGGGACAGACTGCTGCCTGAGAATGCTAGGCTGAGGAACTGGAAAAAGCTGACCACTGAGGCTTAGGCGGCAGCCACGTCACAGGGTTCCATGGGCCTCGGGAGGAGGGTCCCCACCCCCCCACCCCCACCCAGTCTTCTAGGGGCCCAGCCAGGGAAGGGGGGCACAGAGGAGGCCCTTCAAACTCCACGCCTCCTGCCTGCCCGCCGCAGGCGCCCCTTCCAGGACAGCTCTGGGCACGCAGGGTCCCGCCTCGCTGCTCCCCCGCCCTCCCCTGGCTCACCTGGCGGGGTAGCAGGAGGGGCGGGCCCGGGCGCTGAGCCAGGCCAGGAGCGCCACTGTGTGTCCGGTCGGCCAGCACCTCTGCAGTCGCCGCCACCGCGCCCCTCCCGGCCTCCCTCCTCCTCTGGCCTGGCGGGCTGGCCCAGCTGTGTTCCATTAGCCGCCCTGGCAGGCCCCCAGCCCTCTGGAACCGCCCCTCTCCCCCCCCCGAGTGGCCGGCCGTCCCGGCAGGCGTGCGCGCACTCAGCCGGGAGAGCTCCGGGCGCCGGGAAGCTGGGGATCCGCGGCTGGCAGGGAGAGATCGCGGACCCCCAGGGGGCCGGTGGAACCCAGACCCTGCTTCCCCTGGCGGGCTGCCCTGGGGCGCCCTGGTTTGCTTAGTGAGAGGCTATCCAGATACCGGTAAGTGGGCATAGTTTGGGCAGTCTCCCTGCTCAGGCTGAAGGGCCCTTTCTGCCTCTGACTTGCTGTGTGGCCTGGGGCAAGAAGCATAACTTCTCTGGGCCTCGCTCTTCTTTACTGTAGTAGCAGGGTAAGCTCTAAACTCTCAAGTCTGTGCTTATGTGGAGTCAGACATCTCCTTGGAAGGGTCTCTCCCTCTATCCCTGTAGCCCTTCGCAGTGGAGGCTAGGGTTTGGGAACCGGAAGAGAACAGGAGCACATCCATGTTCACGCCTCCACATGCACCCTCATGCCGCCCACAGCTGGCAGCCCTTCCATTGGCTGGCAGTAATGAAGGCCAGGGTAGGGTTTGAGAGGTGGGATGTGCACACTGCTAGGATGGGGGTGACTAGGATAGACGGGAACACAGTTCCATCCCAGGGAGAAGTGGCCTGGAGTCCATCCTTCCACATACACTGGGGCAAGGGGTCCTGTGTGTTCTCATTTCCTATCCATGACCAAGGGAGGGAAAACAGGATTCCATTGGAAGGCATGAGGTCAGACTTGCATAAGAACTCCCAACAGGAAGACCTCCTGGAGGGGTGGTCATGGGCTGGCTGGGTGCATGTGTGTATGTGTGAACTGGCATGTCCATAACCATGCCTGTGTGCAGGTAAGTTTCTATGCATGTACTGGTACGCATGTGTCCGTGTGTATCTCTTAGCGCCTGTGCATCTGCATATGCTGGGCTGACACACGCGTGGCTGTGTGTGTACTCATGAGCTGCCTGTCCTGGGGGAGGCCAGATGATGTATGGCTCTGCTGGCTGCTTGCTGAGCTTGCATTGATTTATCTGAGCCCATCCATCAGGGCTTAATAAAACTAAAAGACCAGCATCCATCAGTAAGGAGATTGGCAACAAGGTTCTCAGCCCTTGTGACCTGATCGTCTGCCCACTGTATCCCTAGGGGATGCTTCCTTGGCCCCCACACCACCCTGCAATACCTGCCAGGAGACTCAGCCCATCTTTAGCCCCTGACCTTGTGGGCGCTTGGCAGGGCTGCCTGTGCTGAGCCCATGCAGCCTGCCAGGTACCAGGCTGGTGGACGCCAGCATAGTGCACAGTTGTTAAAGTATTGAGATGCTTCCAACTGTTCTGGTAAATAGCCTCTGTCTTAAGCCCCCTCACTCTCCCAACTTCTGTGGTCTTCTAGGACCCCCTAGATTTCTCCTCAATCCAGCAACTACCATTGGCACAGCCAGAGGCTGGGCCCTATTTCAACACTCCAGCCAGCATTCTGCTCTGTCTGATGGGTGTCTGTGCCATACCGGTGGTTAAATATTTTGATTATTACCCCTGCCCAGATCCTAGCCCCAGGCTTGTGTTGGGTCTCTCAGAGGGACTGACGACTGGCTAGACCTCTTCCTATCCCAGACCCAGTGTCTTGGCTCCACAGGCTGGTGCTGCTGGCCTGAGCATGGAGCTGTGCTGTGGGAATTCAGGAGCCTGCCTTCCCTGTCTCTGGCTTTCAGGTGCTGTGGCTGTGACTGACCCCTCTTGACCAGTATGTGGGTATCATGGGCTCCTGGCCTGTGGCTGCTGGGTCTCTGGGCTACCTTCAGCCATGGGACAAATACAGGTGAGATGACACAGAAAAGTCAGAGTACCACAGGTTTGCAACTGGCTCCCTGAGGGGCTGGAGTCTTTGCATATATGTGTCCAGGTATGTGCTAGTCATGTGAGCATTTATGGGAGAGTCTAGGTGATGGGTTCAGGGTGGCCTGAGGTGTTTGCACATGAGACTGTGTGAGTGAGCTGAAGAGTATCTGTGTGTTTCTGACTCTATGGGCCTCCGTATTTGCATCTTGTAGTGGTTCTGTGCAGCTGTACCTGCTCCTGGGTCTCTGTACAGGCCCCTTCCTCAGTACAAAATCCATCCTTGTATACCTTGCTGGCATGGGCAGGGTGGGGAAGAACAGTGCCTGTGCTCTTCCTGCAGAAGGCTGCTGGAGCCTCTCTGCTACTTTTTGTGGTAGAGACTCTATCCTCCAACCAGTCCTTTTCCACACCAGCCTGGATCTACAATGAGGGGCCCACCCCAAGGTACACACTCTGGACAGGGAGAGGGTACAGCTTTCCAGGGCCCAAAGCCAGGGGAAGTTGACAGGGCAACTTGCCCAGCCTTGCTGGGTGCCCTGCAGGCTCACTAGCAACACTGCCTTGCCAGGCAGGAGCAGAACTCCTAGAACCCGAATCCAGCCAGCTGAGAGAGGCAGAAAAACCAAGGTGCAAAAGCAAAGCAAGAGGGGCTGTGAATTGGGGGTGTGTGTAAGTGTGAGCGCACACACACACACGTACATGTTTCTGCGTGCATGTGCAGGAGTTTTGCTCTCTCCCTTGCCAGGTCCCCTGGCGGGGGTGGGGGGTAGCTGGGGCAGAAGATTTCAACATCTGTAAGGAATCTGGGCCCATTGCCAAGGGGTGAGTCACCCATTACTTCTGCGATGCCGAAGACAGTGATGGTCTTTCCGGCCAGACCTGGGGGAGGGAGACTCCAGTGGGGTCACCATACCCAGGGAGTTCCTTCTTCCAGCCAGGCTAGCTAGGGAGTTGGCTAGCTTCTAGTAGCCAACTTTACTGTCTTGTCCCAGCTTCCTGTCTGCCTTGCTGGGAAGGCCTTTTGATTCTAGCCTCTATCTGTCCAGTGTAGCACTTCCCCCATCACTGCCCTGGGGAGAGGGAGGACCATGGCTGCGGGTCTGTCCCTTCAGTGCTTTGGAGACCTGCATGGACCCATGCCCTTCACCAGGAGCCATTATCCCCCTTAATATGCCCTATCTGGAGCCACAGGCCCTAGTGGTGCCCTTGAGCCTGTGGTCCCCTCAATCCCCCTGTCTCTTCTCAATGTCTCACTAGGTGGTTATCCAGGTGAAAAGTCATTCTGTTAGCTGAGACTTGGGTCTGACCCGATTGTCTGTTTTGGATGCGGGAAGTGGAACCCCACCCATTGCAGATAACACGTGGACCAGTTGCACACGGTGTCCCTGGTGGCATGGGTATTCACAGTGCAAGCATGTGCAGACCTGCATACACAATTGCACATAACACAAAGTGTTCATGAACCTGACATTTGCTCACCCCCAGAGTACTCTTCTGCCCCCCACCCCGGGTGTACACCATGCAGGGAATACATGAGTATCCTCGGTTTGCCACCCTGTCCATGCTCTGGGACTGCCTGGGGTTTCTCTCATCCCCTCTCTTGCTGGTTTGGACCCTGGCTGAAGTGTTGGGAGACTTGAGTACCTGGAGTTCTGGTCCTGAGCTGCTGTGGACTCATTCAGTGGCCTTGGGCCAGGCCTCAGTCTTCCTGATTGTATGCTGGGGGGGTCCTCCTGGCTCCCTGGGCAGCCAGGGCCAGAAGGCATGTGTGAAAGTCACTTGAAAGCAGGGCTGGCGTAAAGATCCAGAATGGGGACTCTGGGTTCTCCAGGACCTAGCTGGGCAGCTGCATCATCTGAGCCCCTATTGCTCCCTCATCAACTTTGTTCCAGGTGAGCGGTGCCCACCTTCACAGCAAGAAGGACTTAAGTTAGAGCATCGCAGTGACCTATCAACCAACGTGACTGGTGAGGGCTCCTTCATTCCTCTGTTTCCCCACCTTCATCCTAGAGGGGCCTGTATCCTTCTCACCTGCCTAGCTGAGCCCTTCATCTGGTGTTCCCCTCCCCACCCTGCTGCACTCCCAGGCTTCAACCTCATCCGCCGACTCAGCCTCATGAAGACGTCCACCATCAAGAAGATCCGCAATCCCAAGGGGCCACTCATCCTGCGGCTGGGGGCGGCCCCAGTAACCCAGCCCACTCGGTAAAGGTTTTAGTGGGACCCCTGAGAATGTATAGGACCTCAGCCACACCCCCAGCAACTCTAGACATGGGGCCTAAGCCCAGCTTAGGGGTCATTTCGTTCCTTTTCCTGCCAAGAGTCATCCTGGCCTCACAAATGGAGCTTGTAAGGTGGGCTGTGAGAGGGCACCTGGAAGCCCCACCCCCCATCTCTGGCTAGCAGTAGGAGGGACCAGGTTTGCATCCTGTAGGCACTGTGAGAATACCAGGATGGGGGCGGGGACCTGGCAAACATGGTGTACGCCTGCATGTCTGTGTGTGTGCCCACGTGTGAAGTTCAAACTTCCACCAGTCCTTGGATAGTCTGGCCCTTATTTATTTCTCTGGTCTAACTCCCCAAAGGTTCCTCTCTCTTTCTTGATGCTCTGTTCTGCAAAATCTTTTCCATATTTTTCTCAGCATCTCTCCTTCCACCCCAGGTCCATCAGGTCCATCCCCCGCTAGGGATCCTGGATTCCTTGGAAGCCCTCACCATAATTTAATTCATTCCAAGGATTCTTTGTTGATGATTTCCACCCCATTAGCCTGGAAGGTTCCGTGGTGGCAGGTACCTTCTCTGTATTTTCACCACGATTTTTCCCAGCATTCAGCCCAGCACCTGGCACTTACAAGACACTCAGTAACTGTGTGCAGAGCCAATGTGTGCATGTGTTTGGAGGTGTGTGCTGTGCATGTCTCAGGCAAGCTCATCAGTCCTGAGGGCCCAGGGTGAGCAGTGCCTGGATCCCACCTGAGCCTCAGAGCAGCCTCTGCTCTACCCTAGACGAGTGTTCCCACGGGGCCTTCCTGAGGAGTTTGCCCTGGTGCTCACACTCCTGCTGAAGAAGAACACCTACCAGAACACGTGGTACTTGTTCCAAGTGACCGATGGAGATGGGTACCCACAGGTGAGCACACCACTCTTACAGCTCCATAGAGTGTCAGGTGCCACCAGCCCAGCTCAGATTCCATCCAAGCTTGTCATTGCTGGGGCCTCACTCCTCCATCCCAGTGCCACCCTCAAGGCTAACCTTAGCCTATCAGTGTCATTGATCCATCACCTCAACCAACTTTCTTCCCTTTCTGGGCCTCAGTTTCCCCTCCTGTGAAATGAGCTTGAGGGCCCTTGACTTTGCCACGCTGTGGCTCGAGCTATGAATGTCAGGCCTGTCCCTTTCCCAACTCTACACAGATTTCCCTGGAAGTCAACAGTCAAGAACGGAGTCTGGAGCTCCGGGCACAGGGCCAAGATGGCGACTTTGTGTCCTGCATCTTCCCAGTGCCCCAGCTCTTCGACCTGCGTTGGCACAAGTTGATGCTGAGTGTGGCTGGACGCGTAGCCTCCGTGCATGTGGACTGCATCTCAGCCTCCTCCCAGCCCCTGGGGCCCCGGCGACCCACGCAGCCTGTGGGCCATGTATTTCTGGGCTTGGATGCTGAGCAGGGCAAACCTGTCTCGGTGAGTTCTAGGTCACACCCTGGCCTCTGCTCCTACCTTCTGGGAGCTCCCTGAATGGACCAGGTACTTCCTTTGCTCAGAATCCTCCCATGGATCCCATTGCCCTTCAGATGAGCCTAAACATACTAGGTTGGCATTCAAAGCCCTTCGCAATCTGGAGCCTCTAAGAGTCTGCAGCATCCTCCTCCTTTATGTCTCCACATAGCTCTGCTCTGCTCAGTTCTGTCCCAGTCTTCCGGTTTGCCTACTACTTTTACACGTGTATGTCTTTGCCTATGCTGTTCCTGCATACTCATCCACTGAGTAGTGGCTTGAATGAAATCTCCCCCTCCTGTTCCTCTGCACTGCCTCTCCTTTCCTGCACATGCACTTTTGTTCTGCCTTTGGTGACTGTTCTGTTATTTGTTTATGTATTTATTTATTTACTGGGTTTTGAATCAGGGCCTGGAGCTCCCTAGGCAGGCGCCCTACCTCTTGAGTCATGCCCCCCAACCCTTTTTGGTTTGGGTATTTTTGAGATACGATCTCACACTTATGCCCAGGATAGCCTGGACCACGATCCTCCTATTTCTGCTCCCCACCTCGCTGAGATGACAGGCATGCACCACTGCACCTGGGTTTTATTGGTTGATATGAGAGCCTTGCTAACTTTTTGCCTGGGCTGGTTTTGAACCTTGATTCTCCCACTCTCTGCCTCCACATGCCCGGCAACAGCTTTATTCTTGATGGTCTCCCAGGCCAGACTGGAAACATCCTAATGGCAAATCCTGGGGCGAAGCCATCTTTGGGCCTCATTGGGGGCCACAACACAGAGCTATTTGATTACGCGAAATGAAATGAACCATGTGTCCTCTGCAGTTTGACCTTCAGCAGGCACACATCTACTGTGACCCGGAGCTCGTGCTGGAAGAAGGCTGCTGTGAGATCTTACCGGGTGGGGTGAGTAGCAGCCCTAGCACAGCTGGGGCAGGGGGGTGGGGAACTGCCTAATGGCACAGTGTGCTGGAGACGGCGGGGTGGGGGTGGGGGGCTGGAAGCAGGTGTGTGGTGGTCTGTACTGTGTCTGCTGTACTGACCCCAACTCTTTCCTCCACACTAAGCAGTGCCCCCCAGAGACCTCCAAGGCCCGCCGGGACACTCAGAGTAATGAGCTCATCGAGATCAATCCACAGACAGAGGGCAAGGTCTACACCCGCTGCTTCTGCCTGGAGGAGCCACAGAACAGCAAGGTGGGTGGGCAGGGTGGGCACAAGGGAGACTGCCTCTCCTCTGACCTGACCAAGGTCTGCCACTAGGGGAGGAAGGACACTGGATGCCTCAGCCATTTGCAAACCACCCTGTAAGAGTCAGGGAGGTGGAGAGAGGCAGCCTGCAGGGTGACCCTAGACCCACCCACCTGTAGGCATTGAGAGTTATGCCTGTCTAGCTCTGGTACTTCCAGGTTGATGTTACCCAGGCCCTCTGAGGAAGGAAAGACCAGGCGTGCTCCTGAACCTGATGGAGGAGGACGGGGATTCCTGGGCATGGAGACCGGGTGGCACTGTTCCACTCAGGACTCCTTACCACCCAGCACCATGGCCAGCTGCCCCGTTCACTCCCAGGTTCTTTGGAGGTGGCAGCAGGGAAGTCCAATTCTTCCCTCAGCCCCACCCTCTAGCTGGGCAGTGTCCCTGCCCACCGGGCATCATGCCCAGCTTCTGGCTGCGGGAACACAGAGTCCATTGATTCACCCACCGTTTTCTCCGACATCACATGGGTGGGGGGAAAAGAAGGGGCGGTGGTGGGGGCAGCCTCAGGGGCCTGAGCAGGCCCTTGATGGCCTGGGAAGTGCCAGATGCCAGGCTGAGGAGGGGACCCTGGGGGGGATCCATGCATCCCACCCAGGTACCCCTTTCCAGCCCAGATCCCAGAACTGCCCCTCCTGGTGGGTTTCTCTTTGGTCTGTCTGCTCAGGTGGATGCGCAACTGACAGGAAGAAGCAGCCAGAAGGCAGAGAGGGGAACACAGGTAGAGATGATGGGTGGGGAAGGTGGGGAAGAGCCAGTGGTGCCCTCAGCTTGCCCTGTGTGCCCTCTGCAAACCCCTCAGAGGAATCTCTCCACTCCTACTCTCTTCCTGCCTGGACGCGTTCATGCAGTGCAGTGCCAGTTCTGAGAAGGAAAAGAGAGGGGGAGGGACAAAGTACCTCTCTCTTGATCTCTCACTCTTCTGAGTTTGAACTCAGGGCCTCATACTTGCTAGGCAAGCGCTATCATTTGAGCCCTTTTTGCTTTAGTTATTTTTCAGATAGGGTCTCACACTATTTTTGTCCAAGCCAACCTGGGACTGTGATTCTCTTACCTATACCTCCTGCATAGCTGGGATTATAGTTGTGAACAACCAATGCCTAGCTTGTTTGTTGAGATAGGGTTTCACGAACTTTTTGCCTGGGCTAGTCTTAAACCTTGATCCTCCCAATCTCTGCCTCCTGCAAACCTGGAATTATAGGCATGCAGCACTGTGTCTGGTACTCTCTAGAAAGCCCACTCTTGCTGTCTCTTGGGCAGAGGGTATTGGGGCAGTGCTGATCCCCTGAGTTCCTCCATGTCCCCCTCTTCCCAGGTCCAGAGAGAGGCAGCAGCTGATGAGGTGAGCCTCTCATCTGGGCTAGCTAAAGGGATCTGGGGAGGGGGTGCCAGCATGAGTTCTTTGGACGAGGCTTTGAGACACAGAGCCTAAGCATGGGGGTGATAGGTAACTACACAGCTTGCAGCATTCCTTGGGGCCAGTTGCTGAGCCCACTGCCTCTCCCTGGGTGGTTGGGCTGGAAGCCGGGAGGACACGCCTGCCGAGTTGGTAGCAAATGGCCATGGGCATCATGGGTAGAGCCAAGGCCTTGGCCATGAAACCCTTAAATTTTGGTCCTCATTTTGCTGACATGCTGTGTGCCCCAGGGCCCACCATTATTCCTCTCTGGTCCTTAGTTTCCTCATCTGGAAAATGGCTATGGGTCTGGGTTGGTGGGAAATGAGGGTGAGGCTTGTTTTCTATGGCTCTCATCTGCATGTTCCTCTCAGATCACACACAGGATGCATGTCATGCTCTTTGGGCTTGGTGTGTGTGTGCGTGCGTGTATATGTGCGTGTATGTAGAGTGCATGTATGTGTGTGTTGAAAAGGGATGGGGTGAAGGGCTGATTCTGGAGTCTCCAAATAGACCTCCACCCTGTTCTTCCCTTTCAGTGCCCACCCTGTGCCCACGGTGCCCAGGAGAGCAATGTGAGTGAACACAGAGTGTGCAGGGTGGGGTGGGCGAGGGCTGAGAGTGGGTGTTGCCTGGAGTTGGCTGGAGCTTCCAGGTTGAGAACAAGGGGTCTTTTGTATGTTTTCCAGCCCATTCACCAGAGCTAGGCTTGACCCCCAACCCCATGTCTGCCCAGTCCTGGCTGCATGGACAGCCTCCTGCCCTGTGATCTGGACAGTGCGTCTGGACCTAGGGTGGACAGGGCACTGGTGGTGGTAGGTCAGGGGATCAGGACCTTGGTTGCTGCTCCGAGCTCTGCACTTCCCACCAGTTATCAGGCCTGCTTTGCTTGGAAGGCTTCACAAGTCACCTTGAAGGCCTAGACGGGGAGGGGTAGCTCAGAGCCACACAGTCCAGCACTGGCCCTCAAAGCCAGAGGTAGCTCAGGGCCTGAGCACACTCCTTTCTTCCCCCTCGTAGCTGGTCCTGGCCCACCCTCCCTCTGGGCGACTGAAAAGACAAGGGAGAGGGACGTAGAGTGAGCCCAGCTGGTACCCAACTGTGCCTCGCCTATGGGCAGCATTAGTCACTGCTTTCCCATGGCCTGATGGTCTGAGTAGACATGCCACATTGGTCCTCCAAGTGTACAATCCAAACCGTCCTCAGCAATAAGCCCCTGGCTTTGGGAGACATCAAGAAGTACCCCCACTGCTGTCTGCCCCTCTTCTGATCCAGTCCCCACCAAATCTGGTAAGGCCCATGATTCCCAGATGTGCAGGGATTACCATGGCAACCGAGCAACCATGTTATCCTACAGCTGGGGGCAGGGCTAGCCAAAGCCTGGCAAGTTACAGAAAGTAGATTACACCCTTCTGCAAGTTTTATAGCCTTAGGAAACAGAGTCAGAATGCTGACTGGCCTGGTAGGCAGAGCAGGGGCTAGGATTCGGGCTGTTGGTCCTGCTACCATATTGTGTGAACCTAGCTGAATTGCTTGCTCTCTCTGTGTCCCTGGTTTCCTCTTCTTCCCTGAGGTATAACGCGTTCTCGTCTGTGCCCTCAGGTCACACTTGGTTCCTCAGGTCCAAAGGTGAGTCTCAGCAGATAACTGGACTCTCCTGCGCTCTTTGGCCCCATCCCATCCCTTTGGTGGCCATGTGGTTGTGTGTTTATATCAGGATGGTGACCTGTGTGAGTATGGGGTCATTGAGTGTGTTGGAGATAATGGGGTGGGGGGGAGCAGGGGGCTGTGTGTACAAAGATGTCAAGAGCTCCCCTTTTCTGAGGCTTTACTGGGCACCAGGCCCTGGGCCCGATACGCACACATGAATCACTTTTCTAATCCCGCAAAACACTCATCTGCAGGGTAAGTACTCTCATTTGGCTTCAGAGGAAACTGGGGCCCAGCTGTGCCGGTGCATGGAACTGGATGCATCAGAGCGATTGGGTGTGGGTGTGGCCCCCTGGGGCTGAGGGTTGAGCCCACGTACCTGTGGGCCTAACAGGCCACAGAACTTGTGAGTGATACGGTAGGCAGCACATGCAGATATAGACTGAGCTCTTGTGTGCTCCTAAGAATGCAGTGTGACTCCTCAGAGGCACCTCCATTGAGGTGAGTGTGTGCCAGGCTCTGTGCCTAGCACTTTGCCTTCAGCACCCCACTTCTTCCTTACCATGGCACCTTGAGGCAGGTGCTGATATGAACCCCATTTTATTGATGAGGAAACTAAGGCTCAGAGAGGTGACATAACTTGCCCTATGTCACATGCCAGCAAGTACAGCAAGAACTCAGGCAGCCTGACACTCAGCCATCGTGTTTATACCACCCTGGGTGTGTGTGGGTGGTCCTATGCACATGTGTCCGTGGGCCCTGGATGTGCTGTGTATGAGCTGGTGTGATGCATATGAGTGTGGGGAGAGGGATACCCTCGGTGTGGGGCTGTAGGTTTGCCAAATATAGCCTTTTGGGGTGGGAGGGGCATGTGAATGGTACATTTGGAATCCATATGTTGTGTGCAAAGTGGGGGATGGGGGGGCCTAAATGTGCCTGCACATTTACATGAAGAATGGGTAGCGGAGGTCCCTCCAATCCCAGTCACCATTCTGGTTTCACCCACAGGGAGGGAAAGGTGAGCGAGGGCTTCCTGGTCCATCAGGCCCCAAGGGAGAGAAGGGAGCACGGGTAAGTGCCCAGCCATGCCCACTGTAGGACCCTTCCCAGCTGGCCTTGGGGAGGCGGGTGGAATGTGAACTGACATCCCATTATCTCAGTGGAAAGCCTGGCCAAATGGGGGATGAAGGCAGGTCTTCCTGGGGGTTAGTGGGTGGATGCCTCTGTTTTCTGGGGACTCCCGCAGGAGCCCCAGCCCTGATCCCTGTTCTTTACTTTCAGGGCAATGACTGTGTTCGAATCTCCCCGGATGCCCCACTTCAGGTAAGACCTAGAGGTAAGGTTTGCTTCAGGGACAAGATGGGGCCAGCTCTGAGTCCCTCTCAACACCTTGTCAATACCTTGTCTCTCTGTTCAGTGTGCAGAAGGCCTGAAAGGAGAGAAAGGAGAGTCAGGAGCCTTGGTGAGCATGGGACTGGAGACAGGGCAGGAATAGCAGGTCCTGGTCCCTCATCCTCCCTTCCTCACCCCTTCTTTTGTGTTCTTCCTCATCTCAGGGACCCTCAGGACTCCCAGGCTCAACAGGCCAGAAGGTAATAAGGCCTGGATTTGGATGGGGTTAGGGTCAGAGTCTGAAGGCCTACAAGCACAAGGAAGGGAGATGTACAAAGTCTTCCTAGAGGATGGTGTCAGTGGGCAGAGTTGGCTGTACCCTCCCACACCTCTCTCAATTACCTGCCCGGCCCAAATGCCCACCACACCTGGTGAGTGGCCTGGCTGACTTGGAAGTTCTCCTTGTCATCTGCCTATCTGTAGAAGCCATTCAATTTCAGCCAAGGCAGAGACCAGGGGTCTGGAAAGCAGTTGCCCTTCCCCCAGTTGGAGCTACCTTGGCTCTTCCAGTCATTTCCTTTAACCTCCTTCACTTTGCCTCTTCCTTCCCCAGGGCCAGAAAGGCGAGAAGGGTGATGGAGGCCTGAAGGGCTTGCCAGGAAAGCCAGGCCGAGATGTACGGTGCTGGGGACCCTTCCCCCCCAGCCCCAGGGGCACAGAAAGGGGAGGAGGGCAGAAAAGGACCTGAACCCAGGCCTCCTGACTCCCAGCTTCAGACACTCTGAGGCTGACATTTGATGACCTTGGGGTCTATTTTGGGAGAAGGGCAGTGAATGTGGGACAGACCTCTGGCTGTCCTTAACCCCTGCCTTGTTCCCCACAGGGCCGGCCAGGAGAGATCTGTGTTATTGGGCCCAAGGGACAGAAAGTGAGTAGTGGATCTGGCGGGTGGAGAGGCATGGTAGAGGTGGGGTGGCAGCTCTCTGACACCCACTTATGTCTGTGCCAGGGAGATCCTGGCTTTGTTGGGCCTGAGGGGTTGGCAGGAGAGCCTGGGCCCCCTGGCTTCCCTGGACCCCCTGGGATAGGACTGCCTGGGACCCCGGTGAGTACCCCTTGCCTCTCCTATTGTCCTTTCCTGAGACTCCCTCTCCCACTGTGGTCAAGACCCCATCTCAGGGGTCCTGTTGGAGGAGGTGTTAGGGGAAAAGCTCTCACTGTACTGCAGTGAGGGGGTCCCTGGAAAACTTCCATTTACTCTGTTTCTGCCTTTAGGGAGATCCAGGTGGCCCGCAAGGCCCTAAGGGAGACAAGGTATGCAGAGGGAGAAGTGGGCACACAGAGGAGCCCGCTGCTTGGTGGGCAGTGGGAGGGAAGAGGGCAGGGAGGAGGCTAGGCATTTGGCTAAGGAGGCTTGGCTCAGCCAGGCCTTGTTGGGCAGTGTCCCCACCCCGTGGTTGATGAGGTGGGGGCCTTGGCCTTGATGAATGGAAAGGTGTGGAAATGTCTGTCTATCTATCTTCTGTCTGTCGCTGTGCTTTCTCTGGGCCCCCCAAATCACCTCCTATCTGTTGTACCAGAGAAGGGCACATGGTGGCCTTGTTTCTACTGTTCTTTGTTTGAGCTGGACATAGAGAAGGCCAGGCACCAGGGGAGGGCTTATTGAGCAGATGGACCAAACAGAGATGGGCGGTTTGGCAGAGATGGTGTTGCCACTGAGAGAGGGGGATGGGGAAAGGGAAGACGGCTGAGGTCATGTAGGCTGAGGCCTCCCTTTTAAACCTTTCTTCTTACCACAGGGCAGCTCTGGGACACCAGGAAAGGAAGGCCCTGGTGGGAAGCCTGTGAGTGACTCTGAGCTTGAGGAGAGGGGATTGCTGCCCACTATGCCCGGGTCTGCTCTTTCAGGGCCTCTGGGGGGAAGAGGGGTCTAGGTCCTCAGACCCCTTCTTGGCATACCAGTTCCTCTGCCCTGGCACCAATGCTCCTGCTTCTTCTTCAACAGGGAAAGCCAGGGGTGAAGGGAGAGAAGGTGAGTCCCATGCCTGGCTGCCCAAGGTTGGAGTGGGATGGGAGCGCCTCTGCACAAATGACACTGCACAGCAAGGGCCCTGAGTCTTCAGGTGACCCTTGGTGCTTCTTTAGTCCTGTGGAAGGCATGTGTGATGAAGAGATAAAGAACCTAGCTTGGATCGGGTACTGGTGGCTCATGCCTGTAATCCTAGTTCCTTGGGAGGCTGAAATTGGGAAGATCATGGTTTGAGGCCAGCCCAGACAAATAGTTTGCAATACCACATCTCCAAAATAACCAGAGCAAAATGGACTGGAGGTGTGACTGAACTGGTAGAGTGCCTGCTTTGCAAACATGAAGCCCTAAGTTCAAACCCCAGTCTTACCAAAATAAATACATAAACAAACAAACAAATAAACAGCCTGGCTTGGGATCAGCTGGAATCAGAATCTGCCTTTGCCACTCACATGGTTTGTGAATGTGGTGGGTTAGTTAGCCATTCTCTTAGCTCAAGTTTCCACATCTGTCAGGGAGACACATCTGTTTCCGATGGCTGGCTGTGAGGACATAGTTTCCTGATGTCCAAGAAATTTAGGATGAATGGATGCTCTCCACTTTGATGGCAGGGACCGAGCACAGGCCCATCCACTCAATGTCTATAGCTGTGTGAGCAGGAGGCTCCCAGCCTTCCCCAGGGTCTCAGCCCCACCCTGTCCTCTCACAGTCTCTCTCTTCTACTAGGGTGACCCCTGTGAAGTGTGCCCAACACTGTCTGAAGGGTTCCAGAACTTCGTGGGGCTCCCTGGAAAGCCAGGGCCCAAGGGGGAACCAGGTGATCCTGCACCAGCCAGGGTGAGTGTCCAAATGGTGCCTGAGGGGTACTCCACCCTTTATACACATTAAACAAACCCCAGGCCATGATCATAGACAGGAGTTGGGCAGAGGGGCTTCTGCAGGACACAGAGAGATTGTGGCAGAGGGTCTAGGCACTAAGGGGTCTGAACCATATTGCTTAGAGCTGGGCTAGAATATATTCCAGGTCTCCATGGCAAACAGCCAAGACTATCTAAGAGACTTGAGGATGCATTTTGAACTAACTAGTGTGGGGCCATCCCTTGTTATGAGTGAAGCTATGCCCTGGGTTTGGGTGTTGACTGGAGGTAAGGACAAGGAGTGGTCAGGGCTGGATCGGGGTCCTGGCCTGGACTCCCACCCCACTTTCTCACAGACCTTTTCTTTCAGGAGGGCCTGGGAACTGTTGAACTCAAAGGTGATCGGGTATGTACAGAACTGTCCATTGGGGTAGTTAACCTCTTTTTTCTCGTTTGTTATGTGGATTGATGTGCCCTGTCTCTGGGGTGCTGGTTTTGAACCCCACAGGACCCCGGGTATTTGAAGGGTATGTGGCATTTCATATTGCTGTCCTCATATATGGCCAGGGAGTTTGGGGTGCCCCATTATCCCCAGTCATAGCCCACAGCCATTTTTCCCTGCAGGGAGATCCCGGCATCCAAGGCATCAAGGGAGAAAAGGTGAGAAAGCCCCAGTGTGGGCTAGCCCTCTCTGCCTGCTGGGAGCCTTTCTGATTACTTCTCTTCTCTCCCCAGGGGGAACCCTGCTCATCCTGCAGCTCACTTGTAGGGGCCCAGCATCTTGGGCCTTCAGGGTCCAATGAAGATGTGGGATCTCCTGGTGCCAGTTTACTTGGCCTTCTGGTGAGGGACTGGTTCTTGTCACATTGGTGTCCTTTCTGGCTCTTCAAGTCCCAAGTCTTGGGCAGACCAAGAGAGAGGCCATGAGGCAGATGCCCCGACCTGTATCCTGATCCCTCCACCCCTGTACTACCTCAGGTTACTTGCCCTGGGACTTCTTCAGCACCTCGGAGCACCACTTGTACAGCAAGAGTAGTTGTGCAGCTACGTGCAGGCTGTGGGATTTGTCAGGCCCATTGTCACTTTCTCTCTCTGGTTGAATATTGGCACACTGGGAGCTTGAGGGGGTGGCAGTGGAGAGGTGCTGTGACTCTGTCTTGGTTATTTTTTCAGGGGAAAGCTGGAGCGCCAGGGCCAAGAGGGCTGAAAGGAGAAAAGGTGAGACTTGGGCTAGATGTCAGGGACACCAGGGAAGGAGGCAGAGGAGAGGTAGCCCAGGGCAGTGAGTGGGGCAGAAGCCAGGCTATAAATTGACAGAGAAATGAATTCATGTGTTTTGCAGATTGGAGTCAAAGAATTTATTTCCAAGGGCCTTCATGTTCTCCAAGAGAATTTCTTAGTGTTGTATTTTTAATTTAATGATAATCTAAAACTATTAAGCACATCCAATACTACTTGTAGTAAAAATAGTATTTAACACTTCTTTTCTGCTTATTGTATGTCAGGCTCTGCTCCAAGTCTTGCACATGCATAAACTTGTTTTATCCTCCCCAAACCTTATGGAGTGGGTACTCTGTTAGTACCATTTTAAGGATGAGGAAAGGGAGGCACAGAAAGACAAGTAAGTTACCCAAAGCCACATGGGTGTTTGGATGCAGGACTGGGATTTGAGCACATGAAGTCTGGCCCCAGAGTCTAAAATCTCTGTCACTCAGCTGGGTCACTCAATTGCAGTGTCCCTGTTAACGTTTGTTTTTATGATGGTGTTAGAGATAAATGGCAGCATTGGACTTCTAATGGAGTGTTACTCAAATGAGGAGTTCTGTGGGTGTGCGAGTACTCAAGTGTGAGACACACTGAGATATATGTTCAGACTCAATTCTAACTGCAAACCTAACCTGGTATTTCTCAAATGGAGCTTCTGCACCCTGACCTTCTTTCTCAGCAAATGGCATATACCCAGATCCCCAAATCCATATCCTGGTGTCACCCTTGCCTCCCCTCTTCTCCACATCATCACCCCTTCCATCCATCCCCGTAGCAAGACCTGATGTTTTTGCCAATCTCCCTTGACTCCCCCTGCTTCCCTTACCTTCTCTGCTGCCAGCTTGTTCTGGGTCTCCCTGGCCTGTCACCTGGGTGGTGGCAGCCTCTTCTGGCCTGCCCGCGGCCACTGCAGCCTTCAACAGCTCATTTATCATCTTGTAGCTTGTGTGGCTTTGTAAAAAGAACTCAGATTACATTATTTCCCCACTTACAATCCTTCTGGGACTTGACTTTGTGCCACAGTCCTGCTGAGTCTCACTCTGGATGACCTTTCTTTCCATATTCATCTGGCTCTCTCTTTACCATGCTGTAACTGTCTCCACCCTCCTTCCATTCTGGAATATATCAAGACTGTTGTCACCTCTTGAATTCTACACAGGTGGCTCCCACTAGAATTGTCTAGAACATTTTCCCTCCCCACTATCCTAGTCTTTCCTTGACTGACTTTCTCTTCTTTCTAATAATTGTGGTCCTACTTCTCTGACCACCTTGTCTAAAATGGGCTCTCCTTTTACTCTGTCTCACTACCTTGTTTCTTTCTTCGAACTCATCACTATTTAATGTCGTGGTCTAAAATGTTCTAGGTATGCAAGCTCCCCTTGGTGTTTATATCTGGGCTGTTCACATACCCGTCACCTAGCTCAGTACTCATTGAAAAGGCATTCAATGAATACCTGTTGGATAAATAAATTAATGATCTCCGTGTGCTGGGTCAGGGTGAAGGTGGGGCTGGGATTCTGTGGTTGGCTACAGACTCCCTCAGGGGACCTTGGGGAAGTCTCTTTCCCTCTCTGGGCCTCAGTTTTGGTAGCCAGGAGATGAGAGGGCAGCCTAGATGTCCCAAGGGACTGCTCCTGTAGGTTTGAGATTGCTCTGGCACCTCTGCCCTGTTCCCCCTTTGACTGTATATTCTCTGCTTGGCCCTCAGGGTAATTTCGGGGAGGCAGGTCCAGCTGGCAGTCCAGTAAGTATGTTTTGGATGGCAATAGCTTGGGGCAAGATAAGGTGGGAAGTGCTGCCCACCACTGGGAAGCTGATAGGCTGACTCTGGGCATCAAATGTGGCTTCTCCTCATGTAGGGGCCACCAGGGCCAGTGGGACCAGCAGGCATCAAAGGGACAAAGGTGAGTCTGGAGCACCCCTGCATGCAGCTGGGCACTTCCAAGACAGACATGTGTTCCCTATTCCTGGGTCTCCTCACTGCCTGTAGGGTGAAGTGCAGTCCCTTAGCATGGCATATTCATTTCTTCCCCATGCCCCCACACTGTCTCCTGAGATGCCTCTTGCTCCCAGATCCCCTGCCCAGCCCTAGACCTTCAGAACCGAGGGACCCCCTAACCCAGCATCCTTGCTCAATAGGGAGAGCCTTGTGAGCCATGCTCAACCTTGTCCAAGCCTCAGGATGGGGATGACCATATGGTACACTTGCCTGGCCCAGCTGGAGAGAAGGGGGAGCCTGGGCCTCCAGGCTTTGGCCTGCCAGGAAAGCAGGTGAGTCACGGGGTCTTTGGAGGTAGATGTGGGCAGGGCTTCAGAGAGGGAAGAGATCCTGCCTGTGTCTCTTGACTCCCCGGGCAGAGGGGAATAGAGGAGTAGGTGGGAGGGGGTCTGTCACCTGCCCTGACAGTCTTTTTCCCTTTATCCTGGGACACAGTGTGGCAGAGAGGGCAGAGGAGCACCAACCTCAGACCAAACAGGACTGATTCCAATTCCAGTTTGGCCTTTTACGAGATCTTTGACTTGAGTGAATCACTTTTGTTCTCTGCATCTTACCCATAAAGTTGGGATAAAGCTTAGTAATGGTGGGCACAAAGCACTGAGCAGCACACTGCGGGCATCAGAGCAGTGACAGTTATGGCTGTGGGAATTATTATTGCTAGTGCTTTAACAATAACAGCAAGCACCAAGCTAGTGGCCCTCTGTGCCATGGACTGCTTGCATATATTAACTCGTCTAATCTCACCAAAGCCCTATGGGAGTTATCATTCCCATCTGGTAGATGAGGAAACTGAGATGCAGAGCTAGATGAGGTAACTTGCCCAGGCCGTGCAGCTGCAGAGCCTGGCTCAGGTCTCTTCACTATGTGAGATTGCATCACTAGCAGGAGAGCACAGATTACAGTCTGTTTTCTTTCTTATCCTCTGGGGTCTAACACAGTGGCTGGACACTCAGGGGGGTCCAGTTTGAGTGAGCCAGTACTGAGACTGCTTTGTCCTCAGGGCAAGGCTGGAGAGCGTGGACTGAAGGGGCAGAAGGTGAGAGAATCTTGGTAGTCACATGGGTGGGTGGCACCTGTTCCTCACCTCCTTTACCAGATTGCCTTGTGCCGACTCTCTGCCCCCTTCCCAGTCCTCAGCCTCAGTGAGGGATTGTGAGTGCCTGTGGGGACCAGGGGCAACCTGTCCCCAACATGTCCACCTCTGGTCTCCTTGAACCTTACTCCTTACAGGGTGATGCTGGGAATCCTGGGGACCCAGGAACACCAGGCACCATGGGGCAGCCTGGACTATCAGGACAGCCTGGGGTTCGGGGCCCTGTGGGGCCAAAAGGAGAAAAGGTTAGTCTTTTTTGCGTGGGCAAAAAGAAATCAGGTGGAGAGCTAAGGGAAGGACTGCAGCGGCAGGCCATGAGCCCCAAAGAAGGCCAGAAGCCTTGTGGGTGGAGGCTCCTCAGACTGGTTTCTTAGGCTGGGAGTGAGGCAGCAGAGGTGTGGAGCTCTCAGAGAAGCACAGGGGCACCCTTTGTGATGCCTCCTGGCATGACTGCCAGCCTGGCTCAGTGGCTCCTGGCTATGCCCTTTCCTGACTAGGGTGATGGCTGCACCGCCTGCCCTAGCTTGCAGGGGGCGCTGACTGACGTAGCTGGACTGCCTGGGAAGCCAGGCCCCAAAGGAGAGCAGGGCCCTGAAGGTGTCGGCAGGCCTGGTAAACCGGTGAGTTCCAGCTGCCTGTCTTCTGGTCCTTCCCGGCCTGGACTTTGCCTTCTCTTCCTTCTGCCCCTTTTCCCCTGTGGGGACTCCATGGGCTCCCTTATGTCTTTTAGGGCCAGCCTGGTCTACCAGGAGTTCAGGGGCCCCCAGGACTAAAGGGCACACAGGTATGTATGAGCAAGTGGGCCTGGGTACACTATGTGTGGGTGAGGGTGCAGAGGGAGACACACGTGGGCTAAGGCCTAGAGTGGAGAATGGAGACAGTGGAGAGCAGGAGAAGACCAGGAGGTTAAAGAGAAGAAACTGGGAAGGTGGAAGGGTGGGTTGTGAATCTCAAGCCAGGGATTGTCCTTCTGCCTCTTTAGGGAGAGCCAGGGCCTCCAGGAATTGGTGCTGAGGGGCCCCAGGTGAGTCTCCTGCCTTCCTTTTGCCTACCCACCCTTTCCCAACACTTCCATGAACCAGGTGCCCACTCCCATCCATTCCCCAAGCCACAGGGCTCTGCCTGCCCCTCAGATGCCCAACCTGGACTGCTATTGCTTCTGTCCTGGATTTGGTTTGATCCCTGATCCCCACTTCTCTGATCCTGGGTCTTCTTGGGGAGCTCCCCTGAGTTTGGGCTGGCAGATGTGCCACCCCAGACCAAGTCTGCCAGTAGGCAGGTAGGCTCTGGCTGTTAGGCCGCAGTCTGTCCTTTCTGACTTTCAGGGGGAGCCTGGAGCCCAAGGTTTGCCTGGCACTCAGGTACGTCTTTCTTGGGCCTGGAGGCCGCTGACAGGGGAAGGGGGCCACAGTTAGATAAGGGATAACTAACTGTGCTTCCATCTGCAGGGACTTCCAGGACCTCGGGGACCACCTGGCCCCACGGGAGAAAAGGGTGCCCAGGTGAGCGTCTGCCTCCAAGAGTCTTGGACCTGCAGAGTTTCTGAGTGTCCTGGTAGTGGGGGACATAGGTCTGAGTGATGCCCACCAGAGGGCTGCCCAAGACCCACTCTAATGCATCTCACTGCTGGATTGTGCTGGCTTTGAGGTCTGTGCCAGCAATCCCTGTGTCTTCTTCCCTAGGGACCTCCAGGGGTGAAAGGAACCATTGGGCCCATGGGACCTCCTGGTGCCAGCATCTCTGGGCCTCCGGTAAGAGTCACCTCTGTGCGCCATGCTGGGGATGTTGGTGGGATCTAGACACTGGTGCTGGGGAAAGGGCAAGGAGCTGATCCTGCTTGTCCCAGCAGTCTGGGGTGGGAGGAAAGAAGCCTCTGCCAGCCTTAGGGAAGGAAGTCACACTGTGTGTGTGTGTGGGGGAGCCCTTAAATGATAACAATGATCACCACCATTTCTCTCTCTCTCTTTGTTTTTTTTTTTTTTTTTGCCTTCTTGGCAGTACTAGGATTTGAACTCAGGGCCTTTCACTTTCTAGGCAGGTAGTCTGCCACTTGAGCCATGCCTCTAACCCTCCTCTGTTCTTTTTAAAAACACTATTATTTTTCCTTTTTAGTTAACATGTAATAACTATACATATTTATGAGGTCCGTGTGCTATTTGAATACATATATATAACATGTTCCACTCAAATCAGGGTGACTAGCATTCCCACCTCCTTATCACTTCTTTGTGTTTAGTGCCTTCAGTTCCAATTCTGCTTCCTCTTTACAAGGACATCATAGGTTCTTGTAAACTGTCGTCACCCTACTGTGCAGTAGAACACCAAAACTATGCCTCCTATCTAACTGTATTTTGGTGCCTGTTATCCAACCTGCCTCTCTCTCCCTCTTACCTTTCCGGCCTCTAGAAATCACCATTCTATTCTCTTCTACTTGGAGATGGACATTTTTAGCTCCTGCGGAGGAGAGAGAGAACATGGTCACCACCATTTTTTGAATGGTGGCCTTGCTGAGGCTCTGTACTAAGCTTTGAACACACAGAAATTCACTTCCTCCTCACAACAGCCCTGTAAGGGTCCTGCTATTATTATCTCTTCCCTAGATAAGGAAACTGAAGGCCAGAGAGTGAGGGGCGGAGCCAAGAACTTGATGCTGGGTCTGACTCAAGCCCGCCCCCCCACTTCAAACCTCAGAGCCATGAGGGGCCATGCGAACCAGTTGTTACTCAAGCCAGTGTCTGTGGTGATGGAAGGATTCTATTCCACACTGCCCAAGGCAATGACTCCCACGTTTAAAAGACTAGTCTATTGAGCAAATTGCATAGATTAAGTAATAATAAATGCATTTTCTCGTTTTAGTCATCAAAGACCTGTCTAGTAGTCAGCATCTACTCCATGTGAACCTACTAGAATTTTATAAGATGATATAATTTTAGCTTAAATCAAAGAAATGCTACCTTTCAGCCAGCCTGTACCATGCTGGGTCATGGGCAAGTGTATAACTTCTCTCGAGCTTTTGGTTATGTTGAAAATAGCCCAGTGCACCACACCCTTTCCTATCTTTGTGGATCTTTACAGAAGTTCTCATTTCTGTCTGGGAACCATGGATATATTCCTCCTGGGGGGCACGCCAAAGCTCAAAGGGAGCAGGGTCTTGCCCAGGCCCACATGGCTGGTCTGCATTACCCAGCAAAGTTGGACAGTCAAGGCCCCTGCCTGTCCCACGGAGCCCCAAGTGTGAGGGAGGGTCCCACAGGAAGGCAGCTGTGGGGACTGCTGTGTGCCAGACTGGCGTGCCCTCTAAACCTCTGCTCCTGAATCCTATCCTGGGGGCTTCCCACCCCACACTCACTTGTCATGTGACCTTAGGCAAGTGACAGCAGCTCAGAGTCTCCAATTTCTTGCTGATAAAATAGGGGTTGCAATTCCTTTCTCCTGGCTCAGTCTTGGAAGTAACTTTAGAGAGAGAGAACATGTGTAGCACACACCACAGGAGAGAGCAGAGACTTTGGGACAGGCAGATGCTGGCAGCTGTGCAGTTGGGTTGATGGTGAGATTTCTTCAAGCCTGTTTCCTGTAAAACAGAACAACACTGTCCTGCAGGGGACTCCACTCACTGATCTCTGACAGGTGCTTGGCCCAGTGTGGTGCCAGGAAGCCCAGCTTTCTTCTTTCTCCCTCCTCTACTTGCTGCCTGGCCTTGGTCTCCTCTCGAACATGGGCACAGAGCCTGACATTGCTGCGGTTTGTCCTGTCTCCCTCCTCCAAGGCAGGCCAAATGGCTCACCTTGGAGCCCACCAACACTGTCCAGCCTCACCACCAACTCTGAGCTTTCTTCCTTCAGGGCCAAGATGGGCAGCAAGGACAGACTGGACTTCCAGGAGCCAGGGGGACACCAGTGAGTATGGTGCCCCCGGTGGCAGGAAACCAGGGCTGGGCCATCTCTGCACCTCTACCTACTCACCTGTTTGTGTTTCTTCTCCGCAGGGGGAAAAGGGATCTCAGGGAGAGAAGGTAAGTCCCAAGGACCTGTGGCCACTACTCTGGAGGAATTAATCACATCACCTCCCAGTAGTATCTGGAGGTTGCCCAGACTGGAGGGTGGGAGCTGAGGGGACATCCTGGTCTCTCTGCTATCCACCAATTCCCTGATTCCAGGGGCTGCAGAAACTCCCCATTTCACCTGGTTGCTGCTCCAAGACTCAACCAGGATCTCAGAAGACCTGAGAACTCCAAGGCTCCCTTAGCAGGGATTTTACACCTGCGTTTTCATGTGGAGGCTGGGTCAGAGGACAGGGCAGGCAGAGAGTTAGGAAGGACTAGTGGTGAGAAGGTAGAGAGGTGAGGGACTAGGATGGAAGGGCATGGAACCGTCTGGGCTCAGAGAAGCAGGGCTGCCCAGGGTGGAACTGTGAGAATTTGTGGGCAGCAGAGAATTTGTAACTAAGCAATGTCCTGTCTGCAGCAGCCATCTGTCATAAGCTGAACACTCACCATGTGCAGGACTTTTGCACCCATCAGTCCATTGCATTCTCTAATAGTCTACACTGTTGGAATTATTGTTCCCACTTTACAGAGGAGGAGCCTGAGGTCCACAGGCACAACTATAGAGGCAGATCCTGGATTTTAACCCTGACCTCCATCTCTAGAACCCATGCTGCCTCCCGGACATGGTTTCCCAAGGGCCCCTATCTTTACCACTTCTAACCAAGGCTCTTGTCTTTCCAGGGTGAGCCAGGAGAGTGCTCCTGCCCGTCTCGGGGAGACCCCATCTTCTCTGGCATGCCGGTGAGTGGTACTAAGAGCTAAGCCCACTGTGGAGAGGCCTGGCTTTCAGCCTCACCTGCTGCCCAGTGTGTGCCGGCGCCATGGGGCTTTGTGCCCCAGCCAGCCGCCTCCCCACGCAGCTCTGCGCTTGGTGTAGACATTGCCTGTAACTTCTCCCGTTCTTTTGCGACCCCCACTCCCACCCAGGGTGCTCCGGGACTTTGGATGGGCAGCTCCTGGCAGCCGGGCCCGCAGGTGTGTGTGGCTTCTCTCCTCTGCCTCTTCTTTTGTCCTCCAGTGCCCCGCGGCTTGCCCACCTGACACCAATACACTGCCCTCGGCAAAGAGGCAGGGCTTCTTCTGGCTCTGATTCTGTTGTCTCTCCCTCAGGGTCCCCCAGGTGTTCCTGGACCGCCAGGCCCCCCCGGAATGCCTGGGCTGCAGGTAAAAGTGGAGAAGAGAATGAGGAGTTGGGGTGGTAGGGCTCAGGCTGGACCTGTGTGCACTGCTCCCCAGCCCTCACCATGTGCACCTGTCATGTCTCCCTCCTTTGTGCTTCTGCTTCCCAGCTTGGGGTGGAGATCCATAGACCCCTGGGCCAGGCCTGTGCACTCCCAGATCTTTTTCAAGGCATGCTCTGTTGTGGGCTAGTGTAGGCAACCCACGAATGGGTATCAGGCTCAGGCCTTGGTCAGCCGTGGGGAGAATCTGAGTCAGATCTCAGTCCCTGACACTCCATTTTGGAACAGCATTTAACGTTCATTTACCCATGTAGCACCTATTTTCGCAGGTCTGCTATTTTCCAAGCACTGTTTTAGGTGCTGAGATAAAGTAATGAACAAAAAACTTAATTTATTTGCCCCCTTGGAGCTTTCGTTCCAGTAGGAGAAACAGGCAAAAGGCAAGATAAGTAAATAAAATATAGAACATTAGAAAGTGGTACACACTAAGGAGAAAGATAGAGCAGGGAGGGTGTGGGCATAGAAAATGGGAGGAGGGCAAAAAAGAGATTTGTGAAAAGTACTGAAAAGGTGAATAAAACTTGAGTACAAACTTAAAGGAAATGCAGAGTGAGCCTCTGAGGGTGCACTCCTGGCAGGGAAAGCAGCAGATGCAAAGGCCCAGAGGTGGGACTGTGCCTGGTATGTGTAGGGGAGGCTAGAGATAGTGAGGGGAGGGTGTTAGGGGTTGAGATCTGGGTGACGTTTTGATTAGTTTGATTTCCGATGCTAGCAGCTTGAATTTGAATCTCAGTACGGCCATGTACTAGCTGAGTGACACAGGGCAGATTATTTAACCTCTTCAGGTCTCAATTTCTTCATCTGCTAACGGGGGATAATTGCAGTACCTTCCTCGTAGTAGTTTTTGTGGCTATTTAAAAAGTTCATAGAGCTGGGGGATATGGCTTAGTGGTAGATTACTTGCTTAGCATTTGTGAAGACCTGTTCCATTCTGGGCATTGAGAGAGAGAAAGAGAGAGAGAGAGAGAGAGAGAGAGAGAGAGAGAGTTAGTCCATGTATGTGAAGTGTATGAACTGTTTCTGACACGTAATAAGTGCTTAGGAGGCACTAGCTATCATTACTACAGTGAAGGCTGCTATTAGAATTTTATTATATCCATTCTCTTATTCATTTGAGCCTTACATTAACTTCAAAAGGAAGGTGGTGTTATCCCCACATCACAGTTGAGGAAGCTGAAGCTCTGAGAGATGAAGTATCTTGTCCAAGGCCACCCTGCCAGGTGGGGGCGATCCTGCAGAACCCTTTCTGTTCCCTTCCACTACCATGCAGGATGGTTCCCAATAGTTCGCATAGCAGGAGCCAGAGCCCACACCATGGTCTGCCAGCTCCCCACTTGCTGAGTTTTCTATGCAATGCCAGGTGGTGATCCACCTGCAGGGGGCGTGTGTTATGCCTGGGAAGGCCTAGTTGTTTCACAGTGGTGCATTAACTAGTAAGAGCTGATAGCGTGTGAACCCTGCCAAGCCATGCTGGGGAATGAGGCAGGAAAAAGTGACTGCTGAGTGTGATCCCCGGGACCACAGTCCTCATCTGATGCCAGTGGCTGAGACCAAGCCGAGGCTATCACTAACCAGCACCTGTCCCATGCCAGGCAGGTTTCAGGAGGGCCAGCCTGCCTGTCCTCTGTGTGCAGGAACAGGCGCAGATGCACGGCATTTACTCACCAAAGCCTGCACAGTCCCAGGGTCTGATTATTGCATTTGATCCTGATCCACTTCTCAAATGAGGAAACTGAGGCACAGAGGTTAAGAAATGTGCCTGAGGCTATATGGTTCATGGGTAGTGAAGCTTACATTTAAAATCAGGCTGTACTCTTCACTTGCATAGGGGAATAACACTGAGAAATTCAGTTCTGGGAGTCAGAGTCTCAGGCTCGAACTAGCACACCAGTACTGGAGAATGGAGCAGTAATACCAATATTAATAATAATTAATATTAATATGGTTCTTCTTATTATTAATCACATGCAAGGCATTTTCCACGTACCAGGCACTATTCTAAACCCTCATGGTACTGGGGGAGGGAAGCTAAATTGGGCCGGGTAAGGATTGACCAGGGCCTGGTAGAGCCTGCCCTAGGTAGGGAGGGCTGCTGGGGACAGACGATGTGTTCCTGGCCTGGGAGCCAGGACTTGCAGTGAGGCCAAATATCAGAGTGGGCCAAGGAAATCCCACACAGGGAGGAACAGGCTGAGCAGCCATGCATTCATTCAACACGTATTTAATGCACACCTCCTCCATGTCAGGGTGAGCTGGGGACTCAAAAATGGAACATCCTCCCTGCCTTGGTGGAGTGGTTAATATGCAAATGTGCATTGTGATTCTGCCAGGAGAGCAAGAGGCTAGATGGCACACATTTAACCGGAGCACCATCAGCATCCAGGCTTTGTGCTAAGCTCCCTACAGTCTCCTTGAAGCCTCATCTCAAACTACTTTACAGATAAGGAAACTGAGGCCCAGAGTTGGGTTTATTCCTCCCCCAACAAGTAACCTGCCAAAAGTTATATAGATAGTCAGGATTTGCACCTGGATGGTCTGAAGAATGGAGTTAAGGATAGAGATGTCTTTTAAGGGATGATGCTAAAATACTAGATAAGAGAGGGTTAGAAGCCAGGGGTCCTCAGCTCCATGCCTTGCTTGACTTATCCTCTCTGAGTTTTTTTTTTTTTCTTTTTTGTGGGACTGGGGTTTGAACTCAGGGTTTTGTGTTTGCAAAGCAAGTGCTCTACTGCTTGAGTCACACCTCCAGTCCATTTTGCTCTGGTTATTTTGGAGATGGGGGTCTCGTGAACTGTTTGCCTGGGCTGGCCTTGAACCATGATCCTCCAGATCTCAGCCTCCCAATTAGCTAGGATTAGAGGTGTGAGCCACTGGCTCCTGGCTTGCTTTTTTTTTTTTTTTTTCCAGTACTGGAGTTTGAATTCAGGGCCTACACCTTGAACCACTCCACCAGCCCTTTTTTTGTGATGGCTTTTTTCGAGATAGGGTCTCACGAACCATTTGCCCGCACTGGCTTTGAACTGCGGTCCTCCTGATCTCTGCCTCCTGAGTAGCTAGGATTATAGGTGTGAGCCACTGACTCCCAGATGGCTTTTGTTTTTAAGATGGAGATAAAATGCCTAGATTCCCAAGATAACTGCAATGATGATTGAATGAGAAAATATAGGAAAACTACTTAGGACAAAAAGAAGCAGCAGTTACTGTATTGAAGAGCCACTGCCTAGTTTCTGAACTTCCCCTGCCTTGTGGGGAAACACAAGGGGTGTTTTGGGGGATCTGATTTGGGGCATCACTCTTCTGGGCCCCGTTCAGCTTGAATAGAATGTGCTGGACAGTGCTCTCAGCTCTGCAGGATGAGGGGAAGAGGCAGCAAGGGGAGTGGAAAGGGAGCAGGAAGACCAGAGGGCTGGGGAAAGGAGTCTGCTCACTGTGTCTCTTCTTGGCCACAGGGAGTACCTGGAAACAATGGTTTGCCAGGACAGCCTGGGCTCACTGCAGAACTGGTAGGTACCAGCCAGGACTCGTTGGCATTGCTGTCTCTGCCCTTCCTGGGTTGAGCTGGCTATGCAGCCCTTGGCCTATGGTGGGAGGCCCACTTCAGTCTTCCTCCTGAGGCTGGGAGAAACCCAGATGGTGCCTTGTTTCCTAAGGCTGTGCCTGATCCCCTAAGTCTTCCTTCCCCCACCCTCACCTGCCAAAGTCCACATGTCTGTCTCTTTCAGGGCTCCTTACCCATTGAGCAGCACCTTCTTAAGGTAAGAGGGCTCAGGGAAGTGGGAGACGCTGGCAGGGCTGTTTTCTAAGAGGATTCTTGTAGTGAGTGCTTAGCTGTGTGCTACCTCACTGAGAGAGGCAGGTGAGCTAGCTGGCTCCCTGTTTGAAGGGAATGTGTTCCAAGAGGGTCTCTCTGGGTTCTGGTCTATAGCAGACCCTGTGAATGTGTGCTTAAAGGACTCCTGCAAAGATCCCCACGTGGGTAGATGCTGGTGGCAGTGCCCAGCCCCAAAGCCTGTGCACAGCAGCAGGCAAAGAGGCCCCATAGCGCCTGGGTCAGGGTTGTAGCAATGAGATCCCCTGCTCTTTTCTCCTAGGCTTCTGTCAATCCTGGATTCCCCTCAAGTCCTGTGCCAGGGCAGTAACTGTATTACTCCAAACCAGGATTTGACAAGGCCTTTATTTTGGGTGGTGCTGGAGTTGGGACTCAGGTCTTCATGCTTGCAAGGCAGACATTCTACCACTTGAGCCATGCCCCCAGCCCTTGACAAGGTTTCTTGTAACATTTTACTTGTTGATTTAATAATCAAGTGTTCCACAAGGGTCCCAAATGAGAACTGAGAATAGCCTGTAGAAGGGGTCAGATGGCAGTGCCGTGGGTGATGGCCAGGAATCTCAGTCACCGCCATGTTCTCAGTCCAGAGGAAGTGCTAGCTGGGCTCTGACAGATGGGGCCAATCTAGGTTCCCACTGCCTACACAAACTACATCCTTTCTTTTGAGCGCCAGCTTCCTCATCTCCACAGTGCTTGTAAGAAAGATAACCTGCCTCACTATGCCCCAAGATCTCAAATGATAATGTGCCCAAGGTGCATTACTAGACTGGCCTCATGGATGCTGAGGAAATGACAGTCATTATCCTGGGGCATTGTGTGAACAGCGAAGGTGAGGACATAGCCAGGACCTGCCTATGGCCCTGGACACCATGACAGGACATACAGAGACTCCATGCCCCCGAGTACTGTGAAACTGTAGGACAGTTTTCCAGTGGGGTTAGCCTTTGGAAGAGAGGACTCCTATCTTCCATCAGCCTCTCAGAAAGTCAGCCATCCAAAACCCAAAGAAGGGTGAAACCCCAGTCAACGGAAGCTCTTCCTGTTGGGAGAATAGTTCAGCTCAGTGACCTGGGGAGCCTGTGACAATCCATCTGCTCTGGAAGCGGAGGGCAGGTCCATCTCAGGGGTGTCTGCAAAGGGCCTGCTCCTCCTGCAGCTGTTTCCCTGGCTCAGTGGGGCAGAGGTGCTGGTGTCTGAGCCAGCCTTTTCAGCCTGGATCCTCATGGCTTGTCCTCGCAATGGGTGCAGGTTGCAGGAACAGAGGGGACAGATGGTCCCTCTGCGGGCCCCTACGCCTCCTCCCACACGCCTGTCTGGAAAGTGCTCTGGCTTGGCCCTACCAGAGCTTCTTCCTGGAGGAAACTCAAAGCCAGTTTCTGGGATTGGGTCCCCTGAGGGTGGAGCAAAGCTGCCGCAGGGATGTGGCTGGGGAGGGAGAGAGCGTGGGCGGAGTACTGTGGGGCAGGGTGCCCTGGCCCTGGGTTCTGAGAGGCCCATCCTGCTCATCTCTGATGAGACCCCACTGCCTTCTCCATTTCCTCATCAGAGCATCTGCGGGGACTGTGCCCCGGGCCAGACAGCCCATTCAGCATCCCTCCTGGTGAAGGGAGAGAAGGGAGACCAGGGTATTCCCGGTGTGCCAGGCCTCGACTACTGTGCCCGGGTAGGGACTGGGCTGGGGCAACCTTGGTCCGGGAGGGTTCCCCAGTGCAAGGCCCTGATAACTGTACCTGGTTGGAGATGGCTGGGCAGCCCCCATGCGGCAGTGCAAATGGGAGGGCTCCATGGCGGCCTCACCTGCTCTCTTGTCCTCTGTAGTGCTTCTCAGAGCGTGAGCGTCCAAGAGCAGAGGAGGCCAGAGTGAGTGAGCCCTTCCCTCCCCTCCCCTCCCCTTTCTTTCCCTTTCACCCCCATGGAGAGAGGTCCAGCTGCTCACTCTCACCATCTCCGTCTCTCCAGGGAGACAATGGCGAGGGAGATCCTGGCTGTGCTGGTAGCCCCGGCCTGCCTGGTCCTCCAGGGCTGCCAGGCCAGAGAGGAGAAGAGGTAAGGACATGGATCAGGTCCTTATCCAGGCAAGGTGTCTACAGGGTTGGAGACCCATTTGCCTGGAGACCTTCCAGGGGCCCTGAGGAGGCCTGGGATGCTCTCACTGACTGGTGTCTTCTGCTCCCCTGGTGTGCTGGCTCCTTGCTGCTTCTTCTGCCTGCGCCTGTCTTCCCAGGGTCATTCCCCATTCCTTCAGGAAGCAGGTGACATGTCACCTTCTTAGTGAGACCTTCCTGCACCACCCTCTCTAAAATGGAACCCCAACTTCAGTCTCAGACCCCACCAGGCTCCCTTGCCCTCTCAACATCACCATTCAGCATGCTATGTATTTACTTTATTAGGGAACGTTCCACAGCTGTGGACCGAGCACCCCTGTGTGGCAGTCTTGTTTTACTTGTTACTGTCCACTTGGCTTCTAGGATATAAGTGCTGGGAGGCAAGGATTTTTATGTTTTGTTTATAGCTGTGTTCCCAGCCCTTGGGCCCATGCCCAGTACATAATAGCTGCTCAATAAACATTTGTTGGATGATTACATGAAACAAATGAAAGGCCATTTTAACATCAGCTAAATGACCTTGCTTTGACATCAGCTTCTCTCTGCTGCCTAAGGCTATAGCAAGCCAGGGTCCTGTGGGGCTCCAGACTCTTCATCAATTTCCCCTGGCTTCCTTTGCAGGGTCCACCTGGCATGAGGGGTTCCCCAGGTCCTCCAGGCCCTATTGTAAGTACCTATGGTGCCCTGGCCTGATTGACAAGCTCTTAAAGGGGTCCTAATACTCAGACATCATTCTGCCACCTTGTTCCCAAGAAGCTGGGCAGGAGCATCTGCTGCTTGTCCCTTTCTTTCGCAAAAGCATCTTTGGGGACTGTGGTCTCCCTCCACCCAATGCCCTGGAACTGCCCTGCTCTGTCTTACTGCTTGTGGCCCTCCTCAGGGAAAGCTCTCAGGGGCACATGCTTTTCCCTGGACCCAGGTCACCTAGACACCAGGAGGTGTGTGGCCTTCTGGCCACATCTCTGTGCCCTGTGACACCACAGTCCCTACCAGGGCCAGGGCTAGAATGGAGCTGCCCTCCATTGCTGTGTGGTGCCACCTCTAGGGCAAGTCTACGAAGACCAGGGGCACCCACCCCAGTGTCCTCAGTGGTGTTGATGAGACGGAGGAAGAACTGAGATTGCATTCTTTGGAGAAAAATGGATGGTGGGAACTGTCTCTAGCCCAGGAACACCCACTTGGGGAGGTGTATGGAGGTCACGTGGCTGGCAGGATGGGCAGGACCAAAAGGAATGGGGCCTCCACCCCAGCAAAGGCACCTGGTGGACTCGAGGAGACTGGGGAAGGGTTTTGGGTTGCCATTGTGCATTTCTGCCGAAGGATTGAGGCACCATTCTTCCTGGAGCCAAAGGGAGAAACAGTTGACATCTTCTGAGTCACAGTGGTCAATGAGTCTTTTTTCCCAGCTGCCTTGAAAATACTCCCAAGACCTCCTCTCCCCATGATCCCCAGCCCAATACTGTGCCCCCAGGCCACCCCCAGGGTGACTGTACCTGTGAGATGTGACCTGCCTGTTTCTCCCACCAGGGCCCCCCAGGTTTTCCTGGTGCCGTTGGCTCCCCCGGATTGCCTGTAAGAACCTAGTGCTGTCCACCTCCCCTTCCCACCAGCCAGGTCACTGTGGCTTTTGCTTGTCTCCCCTCCTGTTGTGCCCTTACCTCCCTTTTCCATGTTCCTTGTCCCCTGCAGGCACGGTAGCTAACGACACAGGTTTCCTGAGGTCCCTGAAGCTTGGACATCCTCCCAGTCTCTGACTCCTTTCCATCTTCCTGCTTTCTTTCTCCCATCTTCTCGCTTTCACCTCCCTCTGTTTTCCTCCTTTCTCTCACGATCCCACGATACTCCCCCCTGAGTCCCCTTGACTGCTTTACCTTCTAATTTGAAGCTTTGCCTCTAGGAGCCCCTTTTATTCCTCTCTCTCACTTCTGCCTCCTGCTTCCTACCACCTGCCATGGAGACTGAAGATTTGCTGAAAGTAGTTCTTGGGGCCCTGCCAGGCACCTGGCTCCAAGCCTGGTGGAGATGCCAAAGCTTTAGGGCTTCACACTGCAAGCTGGCACAGGTTGCCTGCCCTGCTGCCTGGCAGGGCTGTCCAGAGGCACCCCAGGGATCTGAAGGCAGCCCTGCCTGCACCCTTCCCCTCCACCAGAGGAAACCCTCAGCTTCCTCTTCTTCCCTCTTCCTTGGCTCCAGTCCCACTCTACTCCAAGGCTGGGTGTGTAATACCATCCAGTTGGGGTTCTGGGTGTCTGGGGGCCCTGCCCCTCTATGCCCAGCTCCTTGGCCTACTCCTTCTGCCAGGTGTCGTTAATTGCTCTGCCTTTGTCATCGTCACAGGTGTGTTTAAGTCGCCCCCCACCCCCTTGCTGTTGTTCCCTCCTGGGTCATGGAAGCTAACCTCCTGTTTGTCAGATTTCGTGTTCTTGGGGCCTGGATCCTCTCCTCCCAGGCTGGCGATGGAGGCTCAGGGAGCTCAGAGAGCCCTCCTTGTCACAGTTCCATCTGTCCCCATGTCCTCATCTCTGACCAAGCCATGTCTGTTTCTGCTTGCTTGGGTGAAGGGGCCATCTGTCCGTCTGGCCATCTGTCTTGTGTCATTGTCATGGAAAGGTTTGGGCGCCGTTTGTCAAGGGCAAAAGGGAGAAGGGGGTGGAAAAGATGCTTTTAATGGTGTCTACAAGGGGTGAAGCTCTGGCTTTGATTTGAAGCGATGCCCTCTTCCCTGTTACTAAGTGACAGGGATGGCTCTGGAGGGAGCCCTCCTATGCCTCTCCCTCTGCATCCCTGAAAGGAGATGATTTGGGGCTGGGAAGGGCTTGGACAGGTAAGTGTTGGATGTCTGGCAATACACTCAGAAGGGAGCAAAACTCTTGGAGGCACGTCTCCAGACAGCCACCCCTCAGAAGGAGTACTCATCTGATTTGTCACCCTTCTAAAAGTGACCTACCATGATAGGGCACACTAGTGACATTCAGCTGAGAGTCCCCTATTTGTGGAATCACATCTATGACTGCCTTGGGGACATGCTCTCGAAAAGCAACTAAATGTGGGGTTTACATGTGTCTCTGCCAGTCCCCCTTCCAGAGCACAGCCCTACATTCACCTTGCTTAGGGTACCAGGGGGTCACTAGTGACCCCCTACCTTTGCCTAGAATGTGACAGGAGAGCTGTGGGGCTGGAGGGGGGTGGCCCTCCTCTGCAGTTTCTCATGATCTTTTTCTCCAAGGGCCTCCAAGGAGAGAGGGGCCTCACGGGCCTGACAGGAGACAAAGGGGAACCGGTAAGAAGAGGTGGCAGGGGCTGGTGAGGGATGAGAAGCCCTGGGGAGATGGGTTGGGCCCCGGGTGACTGGCTGTGAGAAGCTGGGAGGTGGATATTTTCTTTTGAAACTCTGCCCCTCCAGTATGATGCCCTAGTGTGGGGATATTCACACCCTGAGGATCAGAGGGCTTGACTTCCATGTGCCTCAACACCCTGTAATGCACACGAGCCCTGTCCCTTGTTCTGTACCTGGGTCCCTCAGCCTACTGCACTCAGTGTGCCCTCCCCACTCCTGGTCCTCAGCTCCCAGGGCTCTGGTTACCTTGGGGCTTGTTGCTCAGCCTAGGTCTGGGGTAGTAGTCAGGCCTGAGGGCACCTGAGGCTGGGAGAAGTGGCCAGGGTGGTAACTGCCCTGGGGGGTGGAGGGGAAGCACTTGCTAGATTGCAGCTCTAGATTTGGCCACTCTTTTGTCCAAGGAGGGGGGGCAGAAATGTTGAGGGCCTGATCTATAATGTTTGCCTTTCCCCACAGGGTCCCCCAGGACAACCTGGCTATCCAGGTGCCATGGGACCCCCAGGACTGCCTGTGAGTATGGGTACCCTGGTTCTAAGGGTACTGGATGCAGGGGGCAGTGGTCAGGGCCAGGCTGGGCATCCCTCAGAAGGCTCCTACTCTTCAAGCATTTCACACCCCACCCCTATCAGGCTGTCTCTGTAACCCCCCTCCCCACTCTTCTACTGTGGGCTCCTTGGCAGGTAGTTTGGCCCACCACTGTGGCTCGGGATCCAGACTGTCAGAGCACAGTGTGAGTCCCAAACACAGCAAAACATTGATCTGCCTCCTCAGAGGGTTGGGAGAGTTGAGGAGATGCTGGGAGGTGCCACCCCCACACAGGAGTCTGCTGGGTAGGCGTGTCCCTGCCTTCTACAGAGGGCCATGGTGGATGGTGGCCCACGCCTTTCCTCCCCCAGCCATCTTCCTCAGTGCCCTCAGCCTCCGAGTGCCAGTCTGGGTGCCAGCTGCAGTCTCCGCCCCTCGCATTAGTGCTGTGATGGGTGAGCCATGGGCTAATTCTGCTTTCTCTGTTGCTTGTCAGGGCATCAAGGGGGAGCGTGGCTACACCGGGCCCTCAGGAGAGAAAGGGGAGTCGGTGAGTGGTACTCATGGGGCGGGAGGAAGGGCTTCAAACAGCACCTACTCCACCTCCTGCCACCAGGGGCGGGAGATTTTCCCAGCAGCCTGTGAGGAGGAACCTGTGACCCCTGCCATCCCTGCCCCAAAGGGCTCCAGCTGTGTCTCAGGCTAGCTGGTAGCTGCGGAGGTGGAGGCTGTGAGGAAAATCCCAGCAGGCTTCATGCAGACAGGCTGTTTGCCCAGGAAGCACTGAAGCAGCTGGCAGAGCTCCTCCTGCCAGGTAGCCGCCCAGAGCGCCAGGGCCTGGGACTCTGTCCCCAGCACAGTCCCTCATGGGACCCCCACGCTGAGCCAGGAGCTGCTAGTAAATGAGGACACAGGCTCATGAGTGAAGATATGACTCATCCAGGGTCCTGTCGCCAGTTAGGGAGTTAGTGGCAGAGCCTGGGCAAACCTCAAACCTCAGATCTGGGATCTGACACTGGAGTCTTACCTCTCCCCCTCACAAATGTTAATGAGGAAATTCTGTCACACTTTTATTCAATAACAAAAATGTCTGCGGGTCTTCTGGATGCTGGACACCCTGCTGAGGATTCTGCACCCTTCCGAGGTGACAGGGCAGGCCCTGCAGCCTCTTCCCCGCAGCGGGTAACAGATAACAGATGAATAAACACATAGATAGAAACATAAAGGTGAGACCTATGCGTGTGCCAAGCAGGGAGGGGCTGGAGCAGCATGCAGGATGCTATGTAGAGTCAGGGAGGTCCTCACAAAAAGGCTGCTTTTGAGCTAAGATCTGAATGGAGGGAGGACAGAGCCACGTGGTGTCTACTGGGAAATCCCAGAGGAAGAAGCTATGAGTGGGGCATAGCAGGAGTAGGTTGGAGCCATAGAATGTTCTCCTGTAAGGTTTCAGGGGACCTAGAATGGGTGGGCAACCAGGTGGAGGGGATAGTCGTGCAAAGAGCCAAGGGGCTCTTATGTGAACGTGTACGGAGAAGAGGTTTGACTAAGCTCGACAAACAGAAAGGGAGAGGGAAGTGAGGCAGGAAAGGGGTGGTTGATCCAAGATTAAAGGATGCCTCAAAACCCAGCATTGGTAAAAGTGAGTACGTCACCTCATTCAGTTGGGAGCCATGGAAGGTTCTTGAACAAGGGAGTGACACTCAGAGCTGTGTTTGAGGAAGACAGGTCAGCAGCCATTTGCTGGCTGGATTGGAGTGAGCCAAGAGATGGCAGGATTAGTTAGCAGGCAAGTTCCTTAGCTTGGGTGAGAGGGGAAGCCTGAGAGGACCAAGCAGAGGAGTTCTGACAGCCCACTGGGACAACCACAGTGTGCCCTGCCCCTCCTCCACCCCTCTCTTATGTCCCCCATGGTGTTTGATTCTGTTCCTTCTGGTCCACAGGGCCCACCGGGATCTGAAGGCCTCCCGGGTCCCCCAGGCCCAGTGGTGAGTGAGGGGGGACAGCGAGATATGAACATGGGACTCCCCCCAACCCCTGGACCTGCCGTCAGGCTCCAGAGTTCTAGCTGTGTTCTTCTCTGTGGTGACAGGGTCCCCGAGGAGAGCGAGGACCCCAAGGGACCTCAGGCGAGAAGGGCGACCAGGTGAGTGACCTCTGGTTCCTTTTGTGTTTTTGTTGGGGGTGGGGGATGAAAATGGGGGGAAGCAGCAGGAAGAGGCAGGACAGGGCTGTTCCCCTGATGGTCAGCAGTTCCAGCCTTCTCACCCTACCTGTCCTGGAGTTGGAGCAGGACAGAGGGGAGGGCAAGGTCCTGTGGGCTTGAAGCTGCCTTACCCTGCCACTCTTTCCACTTGGGCAGTCAGAGAGGGTGACACAGCACACTGTTCCTCACTTCTTTCCCTAGGGATTTCAAGGCCAGCCAGGCTTTCCAGGCCCTCCGGTGAGTGAAGACACAAAGCCAGTCCTGTGATGTGGTCTCTTCGGGAGGGGCAGGCCTGACCAGGCCAGGCTGGAAGAGGAGGGGAGAGGCAGGGGGAGTGGCCTGGGTGGTCAGGCCTGACTCCAGGAGCAGAACCTAGAGAGCAGGGCCTCCTGGGTGGGCCCAGTGGCCCTGCAGACACTGAGTAATACACTGAGGGGTTTCTAGAAAGGCAAAATCTCCCCATGAAAACAGTGAAACACTCATGGAGGAAGAATGAAGGTGTGCCTCCCAACCTCACTTTCATTCTTGCCTGCTCCTTTGTTGATCAGGGTCCCCCTGGATTCCCGGGCAAAGCTGGAGCACCTGGCCCACCTGGCCCTCAAGCAGAGAAGGTGAGCAGGACCCCAGGTTGGCCCAAGCCACAGGTCTGAGCCATGCAGTATCCATACCCCCATCCCACCCTCAGCACTGGGCCTTTGGGGTATTCACAGACTGAGTCCTTTGCATTAAGGCTGGGCCTGGCGACAAATAGCTACTTGGATAGCCCTGTGCTCAGGATGCCCACTGTCCTCTGAGCAACCCAGACTGCTCTCTATCAGGAGAAGGTGGAGGATGGGATGGAGGCAGAGGGGTGCTAGAGGCAGATAACTGGTACATGATAGGCCAGCCCCTGCTAGTTTCATTTCCTCAGTAGGGAGGGCAAAGAGCCAAGGGACGGGAGAAGACATCTGAGACCAGGAACCCCTAAGGAGGGTACCAACCCGGAGAGAGTTGTGGGCCTCCCTTTGGGACAGCCATGCTCAGATTGTCCCCAAAGGCCCAGAGAGGGTAGGGGTGTCCTGTGACATGGTCATAACTTGATAAACTGGAGACAGAGCTCTGCTGTGGTTTGGGGGCTGACATCCCACCTGAAGATGGGCAGGTGCTGTAAAGAGGCTCCAAGATTAACTTCTAAACCCAAGGGGGTTGAGATGGGAAGCGTGGAGGTCAGCAGTGGCAGCCCCTGCCCTGCTTAGACAGGTCATTGCAGAGAATCCCAAACTCTAGCCAGTGGTTCTCCATCTCAACTCCCAATGGGGCTGACATTGACTGGGACTGTGCTGACCCCTCCTGGTGGATAGTGGAATTGCAGTGCCCCCAGAACTTTCTCCTCTTTACTAAGGACCTTTTCCGTCCACCACCCCCACCCCAGCCACAGATGCAGTCCATCATCCTGTCCCCATTAGGGGGCTGCGGCAGCCCTTCCCACGCCTCTTGCCAGCCCCTTTCCCGATGGACATTCCTATTCACACACCTGTTCTCATCTCATCGCTCCTCTTCTCTGAACCTTCAATGGCTCCCCAGGGGACTGTAGCAATGTTTTCAGACTGTATTTTGCAGTCCCCAAGCTTTTTATCATACAAAACCTCAAACCATGAAACACATACCAGTGGAGCTTCTCTGGCTAAAACAAGGGTAGGAACCCTGGAATTCTACTCCCTGGGTCTCCAGTTCATGCTCCCAAGACTCCCACCCCTCCGCCAGGGCTCTGAGGAGTACAATTTGAAAACCACTTGTCTATTTGATAATGTTTACTTTGGCATTCAGGTCCCTCTCTAATCAGGCTCCCACTCCTCAGCTTCCTGCCCCGCCCATCACACACCACGTGCTCATTTCCAAAACTTTTTCTTTTTCCTCCCTTTCTCTGGCATGCTTCTTTTTCCTCCACCTGCCCAATCCCAGACATCCTTCAGAGTCTAGGATCTGCTGATACTCTGTGGCACTTTCCCTGACCCCTGGCCATTGTAAGCCCCCCTCTCTGGGCACTGAATGCATGCAGCCACCATGCCACCCCCTGGGTCAACCCTGAGAAGATCTTGGACTGCATAGGCCCTGTACCTTCTCATAGAGCAGTGAGGAAAGTGAGATCTTTGCAGGTGAAGAGAGATGATGATCTTGGGGAGAACATGTGTGGACTGCATCAGTTAGACCAGGCAAGAACTGGGGCTGGTGGAAGCCAGGCATCCTGATTTCTAGAGGCCTCTGGGCCAAAGGGACCAGTCTCCAGGGGTGGGACAATGCCATGCTGACTTTACTGGGGATTCTGGTTTCAGGGCAGTGAAGGGATTCGAGGCCCATCAGGCTTGCCTGGTTCCCCTGGGCCCCCAGGACCTCCTGGGATTCAGGTATGTATGTGACCCTCAGCCTGGCAGGTGGGGTGTACGCTCCTGCACATGCATGTGTGGCAGGGGTGGATGCTGGGTAAGGGGTGGAGAGCCAAGGGGCTGGGTCAGGCCTCCCACCTTTTAGGCTCCTGCATAGTATGCAGAAATACCTTTCTCTTTATCTGCAGGGCCCCGCTGGGCTGGATGGACTGGACGGGAAGGATGGCAAGCCTGGCCTGAGGGTGAGATGGTGGGCCAGGGAGGGCAGGAGCCCTTTCCTCTCCTTCATTTTCCAAGAGCCAAAGCCAAGGGAGCCCTGATGAAGGGAACTAAAGTGCTCCCTCCCCTTTGTCAGGAGGCATCCCTGGGCTGTCTCCTGCTGCATGCCACCTCCCTGATGGTAGCAGAGCTTCTTGATTTCTCAGTCCTTCTAGAGGCCTTCAATGAGTTAGACCAGCTGAATGCACCAAAGACAGGACAGTGACAGGAAGGCCTTTACATCCTGAGACTCTGCTGGTTTCACAAAGAATCAGGCTGCAGACACAGAATGCTTTTAGCAAGCTCTGCTCTTTGGTTAAGTTTTGCTGGGGGATCTGAAAAGGACGGGACCATAGCAAAGAACAGAACATCAAGGTCAACCCCTTTCCGTATCCAAAGGAAGGAGAACCAGGACCCAGAGAGGGGCCAGGGTTCCCAGCCAGTCAGAGGCTGAGGCAGGCTTGAAGGATGAGCCAGGTTTGGATTCTTCCTCTCTGCCCCACCTGACAGTCCCTCTTGAGATGGCTGGGAGAGACAAGGGCTACAGAAGGGGAAGCAATGGTGAATAAATTGGATACAGGCTGAACAAAACTTTCTTGATTCTCTCTCTCTTTCCCTAGGGGGACCCCGGTCCTCCTGGCCCTCCTGGACTCATGGGACCCCCAGTAAGTTGAGCTGCAGGAAGGAGTTGGGAGCTCCTTCTACCTGCCATCTCTGGTTGGGTGGTTGGGCAGCTCATGTCCTCCAGATTCTCTGGGCACCAAGTTATGTCTACAGATTGGCTACTTTCATTTAACCTGAAGATGGAGGTGTGGGGAGAAGCCTGTGGTTGAGGGGGAGACATGACAGCATCCTGCTTTCCTTCCAGGGTTTCAAGGGGAAAACAGGACATCCTGGTCTCCCCGGACCTAAGGTAAGGGTGACTTCTGCTAAGCAGGTTTTCTCTGCTGTCCTAAGGCCTGATGCCAGGCAAGCATGGCAGCCTAGCCAGGGGTGGAGGTGTCACTTGATCTCCAGCAGAGATATCATCCCAACATCCAAGCTTCCTGAGCCACTGAAGCCTGGCAGACTGGCTCACGCCACCTACCAGCCTGAGGCACCAAAGCCAGGGCAAGTGACCTCTGTAGTGGGGTCAAATTGGGGTGGGATTACCAAGCTCCAACCGTCCTCTCTTTTAGGGTGACTGTGGCAAACCAGGTCCTCCTGGCAGCAGTGGCCGGCCAGGTGCAGAGGTAAGTGCTAGGAATCTTTGCACAATGCTGTTAGATGACCTTGGGCTCTGCCACATCTGGGATGCAGCTGCTTCTTTCCACTCAATGACAAAGTGGCTGCCTTCTCTCCATGACTTTCTGAGGTGAAGTTTCATCCTATACTGCACATCTTAAACCTTCTCACTTTTAAGTGATTTCTTAAAATCCCTTCTTCCCTAGAGGCTGCTGGGTCACTCACCTAAAAGGCAGGGCCTGGCCCTCTTAAACCCTGAAAGGTTTTGGTCTGAAGGCAGAGCCCAGCCCAGCTCCTCTATCCATTGGTGTCCCATCTGCTCTGATCGGCCCTCTCCCATTCAGCATCCATGGGCTAGTAAGTCTGTTTTTTCATCATTTCTCCTTTTTCTGGCTCCTACAGGGTGAGCCTGGTGCCATGGGACCCCAGGGACGACCTGGCCCCCCCGGCCATGTTGTGAGTGAAACTGCTTTTCTCTTTGCCTCTAAGACAGTTAGGATTCCTTTGGGGCAGGGTGATGGTAAGCAAGCTGGTGACAGCCAGAAAGACCTGGCCACAGAAGCTGTATTCAGTTCCTGCAGAAAGGACTTTGGGCTCACCCAATTCAGTGGTTCCCAAGTATTTACCACATTCCTATTTTCTAGGTACATTCAGGTTCACTTATCAGAGGAAGGTCATTCAGTCAGTCAGCAACTAGTTATTGAGCACCTGCTCTGAACCAGGCACTGTTCCAAGTACTGGGGCACCAGCAGTGAGTGAGATAGACCAAGTCCCCTGATCTCCCAGAGCTTCCACACAGGCACAACAAACTGATGAACATGAAAGCATCAGGCAGCATATGATGTCACAGACGGGCTGAGAGGCAACTTTAGAGGAACCCTTGCTGGCGATGTGAGGCCTGAATAAACTGAGGAACCAGCTAGTGAGCAGTCTGGGGGAAGAATCCCAGGCAGAGGGGTCTGCTGATATATATAGCTGTAGAGCCAAAGGTAGCGAGGAGCTGGGGATGTTTGAGGAACCCCAGAGGGTGGGTGTGGCTGGAGTGCAGCTTGAGAGGATTTCCAGGGTTCCAGGAAAGCTGAGCTTCAAGGACAGCTCCAAGGCCCTCAGAGGCCTGGGGGAGGGCTTGCTCAGGAAAGTGGTACTGGGTGGCTGGGGTGGAGAAGGAACAGAAGGCTCAGAGATGGATCTAGGTTGTGCTTGCAGGTGGAGGACTTGATAATGACCTGGTGTGGGGCAGGGGTGAGGCAGAGAGGAATCGAGGGTGACTCCTGTGTTTGGCTTGGGAAACTGGGTAGGTAGGTGGTGTGTTTACCGAGTTAGGAGACATTTATTAAGCAATAACAAATTTCCCATCTACTTTTCTCATCAGTAATACAGATGACTGCCAATTGGTGCCTTTGATCAGTGTGACGGCACCAAGCTGATAGGGCTCGAGAGAAAGCAAACACGCTGGCATTTTATGGCAGTCTGATTGTGACTGGCTGCATAATTTCCAGGAGGCTTTTGGAAATGTTAAAAATAGTTCATGACCAAAAAAAGGAACTCTCAAGTCCCTATAGCCATTTTTATGCATCTCAAGGGGTCCAAGGCCCTGTTCTAGAGATCTCAGATCTAGCTTAGTTCTGCTCACATTAAGGATGAAAAGGAATCACACACTTTAAATTGTGACCCAGGGAGATTCACAGGGGCCTGGGGGGAAGGGAGATGCAGACTTCTTCCTCTTGCCCCTGTCTGTTCAACCAGGCCTCCTGCTGTGTGACAGTCCCAGTGTTGGACATTTCCATTCTGGGAGTCTTAGATGAGTAGAACAGAGACCACGGCTTCTGGAACTTTCTATCTGGGACTGTGGAGGAAAGTGCTCTGAGAGAGAACTAAGTGCTGTGGGGTTCAGAAAAGGTGTTATTTTGACTAGGGAGGTGACATTGAGCTGTGCATCAGAGGCAAGGATATGGGTCATCAGAGATGTGGGGGCGTTTCAGACCCCACACCAGCAGGAGGGAACATTCCTGGAGGTTGGAATCTCGCTGAGCCCCAGGATTAGCAGGACACCAGGGGACTGGGGAAAGGGCCTTAGTATCAGGCTACAGAGCTTCTCTACATGGATGTTTGGGTTGGTGCTGAGCCCCTGTCCCTCACCCACCTCTGAAGCCAGTCTCAGAAGATCCCTGGGCCAGCAGTTAGTTCTCTTGGTCTTTGCCCTCTGCACTTGGTGTCTGGTTGTGGCTCCCAGATTGTCCTCTCAGCCCTAGGTGCATATTCAGTGAGCATTAAGTGGGAGAGCCTATGTGCTCAGGGCCCCCAGGCCTACACTCTGCACCCAAATCTTCTGGCAAAAGCCCAAGTATAAGGCCAGAGGGAAGGAAGGGTTTCAGGAAGAAAATAGAGCTGGTGCAGTTTAGGGCTAGTCCTGCTGTCAGCCCCCACCCCAAAGGTACTTATTATTAGAGCCTGTTTCCATCTCACTAACTAACTTGCCTCTCTTTAGGGGCCACCAGGGCCTCCAGGCCAGCCAGGTCCAGCTGGGATCTCTGCAGTGGTGAGTGACACTTTCCCTCCTTATGCCAGAGGAATGAAGAAAAGCTTGTTACCATCCCCCTCCCCTGACATCGGCCTCTCACCTGCCCTCAAAGGTTTCCCTTCTGGGATGTGGCAAAGGGCTTTGGAGATGGCTAAAGGCCATCCCAGGGCTTTGTCACAAGTTTAGGCAATGCCACTTCCCCCTGTGAGGCCTGGGAGATGGCAGACATGGTCCCTGGCAAATGATGGGGTGTCTGCCTCTGGTTATATGGGTCCACTTTTCCCTCCCTCTGCCCTCCTTCTTCCTATTTTTTAGGGCCTGAAAGGAGACCGAGGAGCCACTGGAGAAAGGGGCCTGGCAGGCCTACCAGGCCAGCCTGGTGCACCTGGACACCCTGGCCCCCCGGTAAGACCCTACATCTAACAACACAGTCCAGGGGGAAAGTGTTGGCTTTGTATTGCACACCTGGGGGCTCCGGGGAAGGAGAGGCTGTTAGCACAGTAGGGTGGTAGCATGGAGCGTGTGTCTGAGGATCATATCAAATTCAGAAAGACAGGCGGTTGCACACAAGGATATTGTCTGTGCCGATGCATCATCAGCCTGATGCAGATCCCCTGACAAGGTGTCAGACAGAGAAGACTTGGTCCCTGTTCCACCCCAGCCCCTGCCCCAGGGGAGCTTGTTGGTAACCACAGAAAGTCTTTGAAAATGTCAGGAACCAGATATGCAGTGCTATTACTGTAACTTTGTGAGCTTCTCAGAAACCACAACTTGGTCTCAGCTCATGTTTAGCTCTAAGAGCGATGCGATATTGGTCAGTGGTCATATGCTAAATGGTAAGCTAAGTGCTTAATGTGCATTTGTCTTAATCTGTATCAAAGCCTCACTTAGTAGATCCAGTTGTCCCTGGTTCACAGATGAGGAAACTGAGGCTCAGCAAGGCTAAGTAGGTTGCTCAAAATCACACTAGTAAGTGGGAGAGCTGTGATTTGATCTCCAGCCTGCTTGATTCCAAAACTTGAGTTTTTAGCCAGTCTGCAAAACTACTGCTTTCAAAAGGTCCAGACAGGTGAGCCACTACAGGTAGAAGTGATTGCTAGGCTAAGGGACAAAAAGTCTCCTGGGAAAGCTGAGGAGGGGCCCAGGTCTCCTAGTTCCCAATAGAATACATTCCACCAAACAATGGCAATGGCCCTGGGGCTGGTGGACTGGGATGGGGTGGTAGACTCCACATGGTGTGGGGGCGGTCAGTGGGCCCATCTGGCAGAGGGTCTAGGGTCAGCACTGTTACTCACTCTGATTCCTGACAAGGCCCCTGGGTAAGTCTCTCAGACCTTGGCTCCCTCCTGCAGGCTCAGGAGCCTCCAGGACCTCTAGAAGTATCTCCCACTTGCCCTGCAATCACAGATGTCTTTTTCCCAGCAGCCCACCAGAAGGGGCTGGGCCAGGGAGGCAGCCTCTCCTGTCATGTTAGGGGGATGGAGGTGGCTTAAACCCATGCTGGCCAGTCTCACTGAGGACAGAGGCTCACAGTTCATGTGTTCAGGCAATGTTTCACATACACTAGAGCCCGGCAGTGTGCATGGTGTAGGATCCCAAGCAAAGAAGCATGGTCTGTTCTTTTTTTGCAGCGCTCAGATAGGGAGAGTCCTGAGCTGTTAGTATGGGATCCGGGATCAGGCTGGAGCATGGAATGTTGAGGGGGAGGGCTGCAGGATTGGGGTTTCTTGGTGGAATGGGGGTCTGGGCAAGCCTGATGGGCAAGGTAAGGCCTATGTGGCCAAGCTGGGTGGTAACTTATCCCATCTCCATTGCTCTCTACTCTTCAGGGGGAACCTGGTGTGGATGGTGCAACTGGCAAAGAGGTACTGTTGTGCTTTTCCCTTGGGGGCACTCCTTCTTCATCCTCACCTTGTCTTGGCCCCTCCTCATTCATCCAGTAAGCACTCCCTGTGCACACAGACCATCTCTTGACAGAATCCTGATCTTTAGGTTCCACATCCGTGGGTTCACTCAATCTCAGATTGAAAATATTCAGAAGAAAATACATCTGTATTGAACATAGACTTTTTTCTTGTTATTATTCCCTAAACAATACAGTATCATGACTATTTATATAGCATTTACACTGTATTAAGTATTATGAGTAATCCAAAGATGACTTAACATATACGAGAGGATGTGTGTAGGTTCTGGGCAACAGTATACTACTTCATTGAAGAGACGAGCATCCTACTTTCTGGTATCCATGAGGGTCCTGGGACCAGTTCCCTGCAGACCCTAAGGGATCTGTGTACAGGAAACCTACAACTCATGTTGCTCTGGGATAGGAACTGGAGACTAGGGGACAAGGATGGAAGTGATTATTGTTTTAACCCTTCCCCTCCACCCCACCCTGTACCTAGTCAAAAAGAGACAGTAATGATAACTCTAAGCAAACCTTCCCTGGGCACCAGCTCTCGCCAGGCCTGCCACTGTTCCAGCCTGACCCTCTCATTTGGACTTCTGTTCTCATCTTTTCATCTGTGATGAGGGACCCAGCCAACATGATCAAACAAGGCCACGCCCCAGGGGATGTCATTCTTCCTTCCAGCCGTCAGACCCTCTATAGGCAGGAGGCTGAAGTCCTTTTGCATACAGAGCCCACCAGGACACAGCCTGGGGGGCTAGAGATGAGGATAATGGTTTTTTTCACTACACATACCTCCCTAGAAGCCTTGGAGATGCTGCCAAGACTTGATCCCTGACTTTTGCTTTCTTTTAGGGACCCCCTGGAAAACAGGGACTCTATGGACCTCCTGGTCCAAAGGTGAGTGGGCACTAGGTGGGTTTGAGAGGAGGTGCTCATGAGTTGGTTAAGCCCAGCTCCAATCTGTGACTTTAGCCACGAGGAGACCCAGGAGGCAGGAAAACTTGGAGTAATTGTGCCTCCGAGTCTCCTCTCCTTGGGCCATTCCCAGGTTCTTAGCTGTGGCTGAGCCGGGGGGATGGAGATTCCTTTTTTTTTTTTTTTCACTCCCCAAGCATTGCTTGCCCTCTTTCCTGGCCTGGGGTAAGCAGAAGTCCCCAAACAATGGCATTCCTTCAGTCCAGTTACACTGGGCATGTTTTACAGAAGACTGAATGTAGCATTGTGGGATCTAGGGAGGGGAGCACATCACCCTGCTTTGGAGTGAGGGCAGGAGGCCAAGTAAAGAACAAGAACATTTTAGCACTGGGTAGAGGGGGTGGTTAGGACTCAGTACTGCAGAACCAGAGAATGCAATTGGCCAGGGCTGGCTGGAAGTGGGAGGGCAGGGAGAAGAGAGCAGAGAAAGGGATAACCAGGATCACATCATAAATGGCCTGGTCAGGCCATTGAGCCTTCATACTGAGGACAGGTGGGAACCATCAGGCTTTCTCAGTAGGGAGCACCACCATGAGAAAGGTCTTCAGGAAGTCCTGTTCTAGGGACAGTGAGACATGGTGAACTGTGGTGCTGTGGCCACTGTCCAGAGGGAGGTGCTGGGGCCTGGGAAAGGAGACATTGCTGAGACATTGTGATCACACTCGATAATGCCAGCCTGTGACTTGCTGTCCTTGTAGGGTGATCCAGGACCTGCAGGACAGAAGGGCCAGGCAGGAGAGAAGGGGAGATCCGGCATGCCTGGTGGGCCTGGCAAGAGTGGTTCCATGGGGCCTGTTGGGCCACCAGGTCCTGCAGGAGAGAGAGGCCATCCTGGGTCTCCAGGGCCTGCAGGGAGCCCTGGATTGCCCGGTGTGCCTGGCTCCATGGTAAGGGAAGGCTGGCAGTCATGAGCACTGTCTCCAGAGCAGGATGTGGGTGGAGCATGGATCATTCTAGGAACTCCTGCTGATATTCTACAGGAAAGGGCATGACACCCGTATAGGTGGTTCTTAGCCGTGTGGGGAGGGTGGGTGCATACTGCACTGTGGCACAAAAATGGTTTACACCATTTCAGACTGGGTAGGACTTGGGATTAAAAATCCTTGGGAGGCTCCTGGGACCTTTGCCCTCCTCCTCCATCCTTTATTTCCATGAAGTCTGTTTCCAGGGGAAAACACCAAGCTTGAAAGTATAATTGAGGCAGTTTTTCCCCTCTTTCCTCAGGGAGACCTGGTGAATTATGATGAAATCAAGAGGTTTATCAGACAAGAGATCATTAAAATGTTTGATGGTAATTGACAGCTGGCGGGGTGGCAGTGGGTGCCATTTGCCCTTCCCAGCCAATTCTCCACCCAGCCCTGGCCTCCTTTTTCTTAAAGCCTGTGTCCCCACCCCGCCCCCGCACACAGGCATATGTTCAACTATCCATCAGACCTTGCTTGTCACCTGCTCTGTTCAGAGATAAAATGATTTCCTCCTGCCCTCCCTGAGCCCCCACTTGAGCAAAGGAGGCTGACAAGAAAATTGATTTCAAACGAGCCTTCATGGAGTGAGCTCTAAGCAGAGGGGTGAACAGCAAGTGTAAGGTGGCTGCTGGGGTTTGTTTTAAGCTTTTCTTTTCCCTGCTAATTTGTTCATCCAACATGGATGTGCTGGAGACTAGGGAAAATGTGGACCCTGTCCTAGTGTCTTGTTTGGGAAGGAGGCCTCTCTGGACTTTCTTCTGAATCCAGCAGTGAAACAATGAAAGGTGTTAGAGATGCTTCTGAAAGATCCCCATAGAAATCAGTGTGGAAGCTAAGGCACAGGACACCACTTAGAAAGCCAACCCCCATGTCCCTTGCCCTGACATTCCTCTGAAGAAAGGATGTTCCCTGCTGCTGGCATGTTTGCAGCATCTGCAGCCACTCTTGAGTCCCTGGGCTCCCTGTGACCTGGCCCTGTCCTTGCTCGCAGAGAGAATGGCTTACTACACCTCTAGGATGCAGTTTCCTATGGAAGTGGCAGCAGCTCCTGGCCGACCAGGGCCTCCAGGGAAGGATGGTGCTCCAGGCAGGCCAGGCGCTCCAGGGTCACCTGGGCTCCCTGGTCAGATCGGCAGAGAAGGACGGCAAGGGTTGCCAGGAATGAGAGGTAGCTCTACCCCCCCAGTTCCCAAGGGGAATATGCAACTCTACGTGGGGGCTGGCCTGAGCTGACAGGCTGTGTCATTTTTCTGTTCAGGAATAGGACTTATTTTATGTCTTTTGTCCCAGGATTGCCTGGTACCAAAGGTGAAAAAGGAGACACTGGTATTGGCATTGCAGGAGAAAATGGTCTCCCCGGCCCCCCAGGTAGGAGAACTCAGCATTTAAGACCATGAATCGAGAGCAGCAGAGACTCCCTTTAATGACATAGCTATGTGGAACTGCAAATACTACAGGCCAATTGACATCCATTTGCAGTAATGCCACCATGTCAAGATTCTGCTAGGACCTGTGTGGGCAGGAGAGCAGAAGGCCCAGTGTTTTCCTTTAGTCCTAAGCTGGACTAGCAGGATGTTGTGGGAGAGAGCTGCACACGATGGTCTACTTGGCATCTTACTGGCTGTGTAATCTTGCAGCAGTCACTTAAGCCCTCAGAGGTCGCTCTCTAAGATGTAAGTTCGGCTATACAAAGCCTGATGACCTGGCTCTGAGGTTCATCTTCACTACTTACCTAATGAGCAACTTCTCTGAGCCTGCGTCCTCATCTATAAAATTAGACAATTATTCTTGTGATGGGAGACTAAAGGCGTTGATTCAGGTGGTAGGGTGCCATCCCTAGCAAATGCAAGGTCTTAAGTTCAAACCCCAGTGCTACCAAAAAAATAAATAAAGGACATCATGGTGTGGAGTCAATGACTAATGCATAAAAAGCACTAAGCTCAGTGCCTGGCATACAGAAGCGCTCAATGAAACTAGCCAGAGGTATGGTGTCCTTTCAGGCCAATGTGAAGGTCAAATCAGGTCTCATGAAAATGTGTTGTGACCTGATAAATAAGGTACTGTTACCATGACCATCATTTTTTCTTTTCTTGTGATCTGGGTCTCCTGACTTGTCTTTTGTATTCTTCCCTCCCTAGGTCCTCAAGGGCCCCCAGGATACGGCAAGATGGGTGCAACAGGGCCAATGGGCCAGCAAGGCATTCCTGGCATTCCTGGCCCTCCAGGTCCTGCAGGTCAGCCAGGCAAGGCTGGCCATTGCAACCCCTCGGACTGCTTTGGAACCATGCCAATGGAGGAACAGTATCCTCCCATGAGGAGCGTGAAGGGGCCTTTTGGCTGAAATGACTCCCTGCGGTGAGATGAAGGACTCCATCAGGAAGAGATGGCCAAAGCCTACTGGACTCTGTGATGGGTTGTGAATGTTTGTGATGTTGATATTGTCATTGTTTTTAATTGCTGTTAATATTTTTTTAACAATAAAGAAATAAAACTATCTGCAATCCCACTTTCAGTGGGGTTCCCTGGTGCTATGACCACATCTCCCTGTCATCCTCCTTTTTCCATTTGGTCACAGGGTCACAGAAGGGCATGTCCTTCATTGCCTGTGGTCAGCTGCTATATGGGTTGCCCCTTGCGCAGCTCCCTCTCCAGGTGCTTCTGATTTATTCTTTGGTGCTCTGAGCCCTTGTTCTGTCCTCCACAGCACACAGCCTCAAGTCAGCAGCACCATTGCTCAGCTTCTCTCAAGTGAGTCAGAAGCAGATTTGGAGATAACCACTTCCAGCTCAGAAAAGACCCTTTCTGTTTGTTTCCCTAAGAAAGCCAGTGTTTAGTGCCTGACCCATCCTTCACCCACCCACCGCACTTCATGTGAGCCAAAGCTGATCCAGCTTGCACCTTAGGAGCTGCTCCCAGTTCTAAGTGTGTTCATCCACCTGGAACTCCCTCCAAGCACTAAGGCTCTTTGTGATGCTCTAGTAATTCTGTGATTAGAAAACCTGAACAAAAACGAGGAAAGACAGGCTCCAGCCCCTGCCTAGGCAACCAGGGAATGCTTCTCTGGGAAATGAGATGCAATCTACCATCTGTACCAATGCATGGCGCTGTCACCCATGCTCCAGCTGCAGCCAGTGACTTTCTGGAACATGAATGGCATCTCTTGCTATTTGAACATGTGTGGTGCTTTTTCTGTACATCTTAACCTCAGCCTTCAGAAACAGCTGGGTTGGATCTGTGAGAAAGAGTCAAGGACAGGCAACGATCAGAGCTAACTTGTGATCCTCGAAGTCCAGTAGGGGGTTGGTGATCCAACCATATGTAAAAAGGACAGGAAGGAAAAAAAAAAAGACAGGGAATTGAACATTATAGGAACATTCTGTCTCAAGCTTCTTCTATCTCTACTTTTCAGATGGCTTGCCCTGATGGGCTGACTGCCCTGTGAGAAAGCAACAGGGCACATCCAGGGGGACTTCCAAAGAAAGTCTTTTTTTACTAGCCCGAGCTTTCTGGAAGGTTTATTCAAGTTGGATAAACTTCAAAGGGATCAAGGAGCAGGCTTAGAAATGTGCTCAAAGTCTAGATGTTTATCCAAACTGCCTGAAGCCTTCAAGCTGGCTGTCAAATCTCTCCAGAGCTGGCGTTTCCAGCATATTTCTGAACATTCCCTTGTCTGGTTGGGCACCAGCCTATGGATGTCTTTTCAGAACCTTTGTCCCATTTTTTTTTTCCTGCCAGGGGCAGAGAAGTGCCAATGGCCAGAGCAATAAACTCAGGCAGGCTCCTGAGCATGCCTAAGTGCCTCCCATGCTGTTTTTAGATACAGAAGGAGTCGATTCTTGTTTCATCTCATACCAGTTAACCCTGGTTCTCACAGAAAACATTAAAGAGCAAATACATCATCTTTGCATTGAAACAGCAGCCAGGTTTGTGGCAGTGGATGAGGACAGATGTTAAAGCACTCCCACTGGAAGGCCAGCTTCTACTCTCAGCCCAGGCTGCGGAGTGAACTGATGATGGGTCTTATTAAAGAGCATTTTGGCATGAGTAGAAAGAAAAGTGAGGGCCAGCTGTTAGTGAGGCCAGCTGTTAAGATGAGTAGGTTGGCTCTGAAGGCCAGAGGGGGAAATTGCCATGAGCCAACATCAAACTCATCCCCTGTGAGTTCCCAAGGGAACCCGATCCTTACAGAGTAAATAATGTCTCCTTCACTTTTCTCCCTGAGTCAAATTCATGCTACTCTTTGGGGATTCTACAACAGGCTAGGCTTAAGCTTTCATGATTTGAGTGCTAGTCTCACTGGAGTTTGAAATTGCTGTATTTTCTTGGACCATGAAGAACCAGATGGGAAGCTGAATTTTATAGTCTGTTCTTCTGTGGTCAGCAAAAAAATCTGTGGATCTTGCTCATCAGTTCAGGAGCTGTGTAAGCTGAAGAGAAAAGAGGGAGGGGCACATGCTTTCCACTTTTCTTAGGCAGTCTTTTCACATTCCCACTCTGTTATTCTTCCGACTGCATTTCTTAGTCTAGTCCAGACTTTTAAGGTAACACGGAGAGCATTCTGATCCACACAGTCTAACTTGATGAGTCCATTTCCTCTTTCTACGTTGTGCCAGCAGCCGTACTAGGCTGTAGGGAGCCCAGCAAACTAGACAGATATGGTCCCTGCCCCCACAGCATCTATGGGGCGGGGAAGCAGTTCTTTAAGCACCTACAATAAAGTGGCCACTTTACAGTACAAGGGGCAGTACAAAGGAATGCATCACTGGGGGACCTAAAGTGCGCATACAGAGAGATAGAGAGAGAGAGAGAGAGAGAGAGAGAGAGAGAGAGAGAGAGAGAGAGGTTAATCCAGGCAGAAGGAACAGATATGCTAAAGTCCAGTCCAGAGATGATTGAGCACAGCAGGCTGAGTAATGGGACACAAGGCAGGACGGCTGGATTGCTGAATGTGCAATCACCAGGGGAGACATGGTGGGAAGCCATTGATGGCTTTTACACAAAAGGTTTGCCTAGTGGGGACTTTGCTGATAGCAGTGTGAAGAATGTACTGGAGGGTCCTTAATTTGAGAAGCCCTCTGCCCTATAAGATGGAGAAAAAAACCACTGTGTATTTATTCTGCAAAGAAAACCCCCAAATTTAATGCCTTCTATAATTTAAATCTTGCTTTTTGTCATATTTTCCTCTGTTACCACCATTCAACAGAATCTAACGAGACCTTCGTCACATGTGGTCTATTGACTTTTGGCAAGTTTTTTAATGCCATCCTGAAGAGTTTATGGGAATAGAATATATTCATGTACTTTCCTTATGATCTCAAAACAGAAGAGTAGTTGGCCAGACTGCCACGTCTGCTGTTCTAATTTTTTGGTTGGTGTTGTAGAAAGCTGCAAATCACCCTCCCATCCACAAAATCCAACTGGAATCTAAATTTCATAACTCAATCTAGTTGGAATCAAAGAGAATTAATTTCATAATAATTAGGGGGTGTTGGCATTCCTTCTCAATGCGCGCTACAGGAACCCGGTATCCAGCCAGAAGGTGTTAGGGGGCTGTGTCTCCAGGGGAGGCAGTATTTTCCAGTGGCTGGCCCTCCCATTTCTGGGTTCTGCCTTACCTCCGATGGATCAACCACAGGGCTTCCATGAGTTTGGGGGAAAATGCTATATGCTCTTAAAAGGTCTGGAATCTAAGTTTTCCCCTTTGGCTAAAACTGAAACAATAATAGGAACAACCCCTACCCACATCTGTCTGCCTCAGGTAGTTGAAATTTGGAAATGAGTTGTTTATTTTTTAGTCTTTGGGAGATCCAGGTCTCTCTTTCATCTCACCCCCTCCAAAATAAACACACCTGGTCCTCGGAAGGAATATCCCTGGATATTGGTTTTGGCTGGTGTCTGACTGCCTGAGAAAAGACGTGATGTCCATGCCACCCAAATAGTGCGAAACTCCAACAGCAAGACTTCCTAAGCCTTTTGCTGGGCAGAGGGGGATGGGGCAAAGAATTCTCATGGGTGATGAATCCTCCACACCTACACCAGAACTTGGCAAGTGGTGGGAACTCAAAAGGCTAATGTGTTTGTGGAATAAATGAGTGTGAGTCGCAGGACCGCAGTTTGCAGGTCAGGTGTCACTATTCTCTCTTTGAATAAATATTCCCTTGACCTTCAGCCCATACTACAGAGCTTCTTCCTTTTTGAGATTTTGCAATTCAATTACACCAATATGTTTTTGGACCGGAGGGTTATAAAGTTAAAAAGAAGACACTGTAACAAGGGCTTCGAGGCTCTTTTGCTAAAAGCACTGAATCTTCACTTGGGTCTGTAGATGTCTGATGAGTAACTAAAAGCAAGATAAAATGTTGACATCTGCCTTCATTTTGTATCTGTCTCCTTTACTACCTTAAACTCTGAGTCAGTTTTCTGCACGTAGGCATGTTAAACATTGAAGGCTGGTAATCATTCCCTTCAAGACACCAAGATAAGAGTAAGATATTTCCAAGATTTTCAGAGACATCATCACGACAGATTATCGGTAGACAAGTTTTTTTCTCTTGGAGACAGTATCTTTACATACCAGGCTGGCCTCGAACCCTTGGTCCTCCTGCCTCAGCCTCCCAACTGTTGGGATTACAGGCATGTGACCTCACACCCAGCACTACTGTCAGCTTTTACAATGTCCTGCTGCAGACCATTAGAGGAATGCCTAGAAGTCTCTAATCATTACCCTAAGCCTGAAGGAGGGCCCAGCTATTGATCTAACTCCATCTGTAAGTCATGCTCTCCTTCAGTTACCTTGAATTTCAGGAACAACAGGTCTGGTGGATAAACGTTAAGTGACAAGAGTCAAAACTACCCCCAAGCAGTAGCAACTTTCTTTTTACTGATAGGGCTATGCTAGGTAACCTATCCCGAGACAATGATCAACGAAACCATAGTTCAGTCAAGAATGAACTATGAAGTGTGCCTCCTGATTTATTCCTTCTCTATTTAACCCCAAAGCTCTTGTTAGCTCCTCAAAGACAGGGCTGAGGGCAATGGCCCCCTGTCCCTTCCCAGTGTGGCTATACTGAATATATTCCTTTTCTGTGTTCCCCACCACTTTTTCCTATTTGGCATTTGGGGTAGTGCTCAGACCTTGCCTCTGGCCTAAAAGGACTCCTGTAACGACATGAGCTACCATTAAGTACTGAGTAGTTGAAATACTATGAAATTGGGTTCAAATCCCAGCTTCTCCATTTTTTTTGAGACAAGTTCTCACTAATTTAGCCCAAGCTGTCCTTGAACTAGCAATCCTCTTGCCTGAGCCTTCCAAGTATGCCATCATGCCTAGCTCACCATGTATCTTTTTGATATTAAGGAAGTCACTTAGCTTCTCTGAGCCCCAGTTCCTTATTATAAATGGGTAATAATATTTATCTAAAAAAACTGATAAAAATTATAAACCTGCAGTTCTTAGCACAGTATCTGGTAACTAAAGCATCCAATACATGATAATAATAACCACTAATCTATTGAATTAATGCAGTCCCTGTTCGAGGTGCTTGATGTAGAGTAGTAAGAAAAGGGCACCCTAATGCATACATGTAAACCTTACTATATTCATGTAGACTTATAAGAAAGGACAATTCAAGTAGTGACAGGTATTATGACAAAATAAGATATAGTGGTAGCTGGGTGCTGGTGGCTCACACCTGTAATTCTAGTTACTTGGGAATCTGGTATCAGGAGGATCACAGTTCCAGGCCATTCAGGCCATATCAAGAGAAAAGAGCTGGGCACAGTGGTATACACCTGTCATCTCAGTGACAACAGGAAGCATACATAGAAGGATCATGGTCCAGGCTGGCCTGGGCAAAAAAATGAGACTCTATCTTCAAAATAAGCAGAGCAAAAGGAGCTGGAAGCATGGCTTAAGTGGTAGAGATGTGCCTAGAAAGCACGAACCTCTTTTCTACCTCTACCCTCCCCCCAAAGAAGATACAATGGTATGATGTATGGATGAAATGTGTATGGGGAGGCAGTGTACTTTAGATGTGGTGTCAAGAAATCCCCCTGCCCCTGGACATGATATTTCAACTAAGACCTGGCTGATGAGGAGCCAACCAGTGGAAAGTCAAGGGAAGACTTTGGATTCACAAAGGGAAGAGTGATCCAAAGATTTGGAGGCAGGAATGGACTCAGCATGTTCTAATACTGAGCTGGAACCAAGGGGTGGTGACCAACCAGGAAGGCTAGAGTGAACTAAGGAAGAAAGCAATAGAAATAAGTGAATCTGGTGACAGAGGCAGGGTCTAGGTCATGTAGAGCCATGAAGGTTATAAGAATGAGTTTAGCTTTTATTGTAAGAGTGATGGGAAGCCCTTAGAGAAGTTTAAGTCTAGGAATGATATTATCTGATTTCAATTTAAGACACTCACTCTGGCTGCACTATTGAGAATGGAGTATGGGGGAGAGTAAAAGCAGGGACAGTGATCAAGAGGCTATTGTAATGATCCAGGCTACAGATGATGGTGTCTTGGACCAGAGTGACAATGTGAACAGGGAGAAAAGAGCAGTTGTCAATACATTTTTGAACTAGAGGAAATGGACATGGGCAAGTGTATGGAGAAACAGACACTCAGGTCTTTGGCCTGAGAGACTGAGTGGATTTTCTGAGATGGAGAGCAATGAGTTTTGGGGAAAACATCAATAAAAACTCTTTTCTTTTTTTGCTTTTAACTTAGGACCTCATGCTTGCAAAGCAAGTGTTCTACCAGTTGGGTCGTGCCTCCAGTCCAAAGAGGCAGGCTAGAATAAAGTACAGTAATAGTACCAAGTACAAAGGGATACTGGCAAGAGTGGCTAACTCTGGAGCTGGGAAGAATGTGGGACAGTAGGTGGAGGGTGGGGATGGAATTGAGTCTTGGAGGACCAGAGATGGGAGGGCTGCTGGCCGGGGGGAAAAGGAGTGGTTTGACCTAAGCCTGGGAGTAAGCAGGTACAACAAATTTTTTCAAATTTATCTATTTGTTTCTAACAGTTAAGAAAACAGATTCAGAGAGATAGAATAACTTGCCCAGGTCATACAATTAGAAAGTGATAAAAGAAAGATCCTCAGGCCAAAGCAAGACTGCCAAAGAGTAGGAGTACAGAGTGGAACACAGTACAGGGCTGTGAGACCTAAGATTGGAAAGGTGAGGTGGGGCCAGATTGTGAAGAGCCTGGAGTGCCAGGATGAAAAGACTGGCCTTACTTTGCAAGTGTGGGCATGCACTGCCAGCTGCCAGATAGGCAGTAACATGATCAGCACTGTGATTTTGGAAAGTGCCTGGCTAGTGGTTAAATAGATGGGCCTCACTGCATAACACCTCGTAACCCTAACTTATTCATTCATTTAATTAAAAAGTACAGTGTCAGCACTTTAGCTACTGGGGATATAAGGACAGCCAAAACCCAGATGTAATCCTTGCCCACATGGAAGAACTTAACAAATTAACCAAACACGCGTGCAAACAAGTGTATCCCTGAATGCCAAGAGGCAAGTACATGAGTTGAATTCACTCAGGAACTGGGATGCGACCTACTAATCTAGACTTCTTAGCTGAGACTTGGGAATCTATTAATCCCAGTTCTGGGCCACATTTTGTCATGAACCCTCTGTGAACTAGGGCAAATAAGTCACTGCCTTTCAGGACCTCAGTTTCTCCATATAGAAAGAAAAAAGCACTAGATAATCTAAGTTTCATCCTACTCGGATGGATTGGCGTTTTCTCCAAAAACTACAGATCTGTATCTGTAGGCTGCTAACGGGCACCGGAGTCTTGCCATTAAAGAGGAATACTTTCATCCTCTCTATCCTTTCCAGGAGGCCCGGGTTAGTTCCCGGTAGTCACGGCAACCGCCTGGGCTGAAACGGCGTGACCACAGCAATTACGCCACTAGCATGCGTCCCATTTGCCAGGTTATAATATGGCCACCGCAGCAACACCTGACCCAGGCTTCTCACAGAACATCCTGGTCTGACACACCTTGGGGCCTACTTCAGGTCAGTAAAGACAGAAACAAGCCCTCCAGTACAACCACCAAGACTTCCGGATACCTCTACCCGACATTTAGCAATTCCGGTATGTAGATTAGGCAGTCGCCCACGCCTTGGCGTCACTTCCGTTGGCCCACTTCGCGGAAGACTGACATCTTGAACGTCCAGTCAGAAGCGGGCTCTTCTCCAGGCCCAGAGAGGGGCGGCTTTGAGAACAGGAAGCCCCGCCTTCCACCGATGTGTGACGTCAGAGTCGCCATGGCCAGCTATCCGTATGGGCAGGTGAGTGTGTAAGGGGCCCGCGAACCTAGGTAGGGGTTTTGCCAAGCTCAGTCCTGCCCCCTCTCACGGCTTTTCTTTCTTCCCACTTTCTCCGTGCCGTTTTCACTCTGAGGTTCACTTCAGGAAGGCCTCGCGCCGTGGAGAAGTGAAGAGGGCCTGTCAGTCGCGTCCGGCTCACGTCATGCAGGACCAGGCGTCCTAGTGGTCGTGTCGCGCCCCTTCTGACGTCGCGCACGCGAGGATTTGGGGACTTTGGACCCCATAGATTCAGGCAGGGCTGGGCTTGGATTCTGCACCCTGTCAAGGCCTCCGTGGGCCAGACGTTTAGTCCTGTGGTTCCACCGGTGTCATTTAGGGCGTGGGATAAAAAGTAATAGGTTTCCCGACTCACCCGCACTTACTGCGTCAGAATAATTAGGAGAATCTGGTTGTAGGAGGTGCCACAAGTGAGCTGCTTTGATCGCTGATGTAGTCCAACATCATTTCACACGTAGGAAAAGTGAAGGCCAGAAAAGATACAAAACTATGTGAAGTCACCAGGTAGGTAGGCCAAGATCAGAACCCGGTTTGTCTGCAAATGCCTCTTCACTTGCCAGCCCATGTCGAACCAGCCAAGGACCATAGCAGTGTGATTCTGGCCAGAATTTTTTGTTGGGTTACAGAATGGTAGGGTGGTTAAGTGCAACTTGGAGTCAGAGGTAGGGTCACATCTTGGCCCCATTACTTAGTTTTGAGCCCTGAGTGTGATACTTTGTCTTTCCAAGACAAAGTTTCCTCTTCTGAAATCGGACCAAATAATAGGATTACCTTAAAGAGCTATTATGAAGTGCGTGCTATGGTGTAATGTGTTGCCTTTCTGTATTTTGATTTTTACTAGACTCCTAAAAGATCAGTCCTGGGAGGCCCTCAAAACAGCCCTCCCATTTTACAGAGGGGGAAGCAGTCCCAAAGAGGGGTCTTGAGTTGCCCAAATCACATAGTAACTTAGGAAATAAAACTCATGTAGGGAAAATTGGAAAACAAGGTCAAATGGGACATTACATGCAAAAAGATGTGTTAAGCGTCCTTCTAGGAAGTTCAACCCTGTGTAGTTTACACAGCATTTGGTAAATGCTTTTTGCCAGTCATGAAGGCCCTGTAGACATGCTGAGATTACCACTCCCAGTATACAGTTGAGGAACAAGCCCAGAGAGGTTAAGGGTTTTAAAGGATATACATAGTGAGTGAGGGTAAGGCCAGGGCTAGAGCTTGGAACTCCTTTCATTGTGTACTTAGTAGAGGTAAGGAAAGAGGCTAGTGTGGGCTGGAGTTAGGAGAAAGTATAACATAGTTGTGTTTCCCAAACTCCATTCCATTTTCTGAGTATTGTGAGATGTTAATGGGTGTTGTTAATAGAGGAGGATTCTATGGTCAAATGAGTTTGGAGAATATTCTGTTTTTTTTTTTTTTATTGATTAATGATTTTATTGTGTTCACTGTATATTGGATGTTAAAGAACCAAGCACAAGCAAACAAAAACCCAAACAACAAAATGAGCCTTCTTCAAATTGAAAAAGAGTTCTCAATGAATTAACATTCTCTGAATTGCATTTCAACCCTGTCACCATTATCTCTTGCTTCTTCTTCTTTTTTTTTTAATTCGTTTATTCATACGTGCATACATTGTTTGGGCCCTTTCTCCCCTCTACCCCCTGCCTGAGAATATTCTGTTTAATACAGCTAGATAAAATTTGTTCATGATAGGGCATCTCAGGATTTTTAATTTACTAATGAATATCATAAATCTGCCAGAAACCAATAACTTACGTAATATTTCTGGAACTTATTTAACTATGGAACTCCCCCTTTCTGGTCATTTTTGGTGATACTGATATTCCTGAGGAACAGTTTAGGAGAGCATTGCCATAGTGCATTGTGTCTCAGTGGCTGGTCTGCTTCAGGATTACCTGAGAGCTTGTTGAAAGAGCACACTTTTGGGTGCCACCTAAGACCTACTACTCTGTGCCCAGAAATCTACATCTTAATAAGCTTTGGGGATGATTTATGTACCCTAGAAGCAGTGACAGATTAGACAGAACTAGGCTAGAATCCTAACTCTACCACTTAATAGTTACATGCCCTTGAGTAAACTGTTTAAGGGCTCTGAATCTCAGTTGCCTCACCTATAAGGGGAAAAAGAATACCTGTAAAAAGGGCTGAAATGAGGATGAAATGCAACAAAACCTATAGGGAGCTTGGCATGTTGCTAGTAAATGGCAATCAATGTATGGTAGCAGCTCGCTGCTGCATTTACTCTTACCATCCTGTGCTGCCTGGGCTAATGCTCCAGGTGAAACACTGAAAAGGAGCGGAGGGAGAAGTGACTGGAATAGAAGAAGAAATGGTGCTTCCTCACCTCCCATCTCCTCATTTCAGGTGTTCTAAGAAAGGAAACTAGTTGTTTTAAAACATCCAAAGGCTCAGTGAGTGCTTCCTCCCCTCCACCCACTACATAGCCCTAGATGATTCCAGCCTATTGCAAAGTCACAATACCTGTGATTTTCCATTGCCTCCAACTCAGGGTACTGAAGCACTGACTGGGTGTTGGAGAGTGAAAGTCAAGCACCCTTTGGTCCTGTGGAGTTACCAGCTTGATGAGTTTCAGAGCTTGGTCTCTGAGTCCAGAGAAATTTGGCTTCAAATCCCTGCTCTGCCACTTGCTTACAGAAGTTCGTTGCAAAGATCTGAAGCTCAGTTTTCCCTTCTTTAAATGGGGTCATAACAGTACATACCTCAGATTTACTGTGAGGATTAAATGAGATAATCCATGCCAAGTGCTTGGTATGGCGTTTGGCATGTAGTAAATACTCCAGGTGAGAGAGAAACGCAGATATGTGAATTGTAGAGTCAGAATAGGAAGTATTAAATGGGAGTAAGTATATGGTAATAGAACAGCACAGGAAAGATAACTAACTCAGTTTAGGTGCAAGAAGACTTTTTAAAGGGAGTGATACTTCAATTCCAAACTGAATCACAGGAGGAGTTAGCTGGGTAAAGAAAGAAAATGTATTCCAGTAGAGGAAATAATTTCACAAACACCAAGAAGCAGGACTGGGGGCATGGTTCATGTGATAAAGCACTTGCTAGCAAGCACAAGGCTCTGAGTTAATTCCCAGTACTGCAAAAACAAAAACAACCTAAGAAGCAAGTAAGACAGCCCAGTAGTTTGGAGGAATTTTATGACCAGTCTGGTTGCAATAATGGAAAAAAAGAGCAAGAAATGAGACTAGAAAAGAAAGCAAGAGCCAGATTCCAGAAGGTCTTTTTGCGGGGAATGTGATTTCCTCCTAAGAGTAGTGGGGAGCTGATGAAGGGTTTTATACCTTTTGCCCTTTGGATCTCTTACTGTGGGGCACTGTCAGAATAGATTGAAGCAGGAGAAACTGAAGCCCATTTTCAAAGCTGTTGAAGTACTCTAGGTTAAAGAGAACGACTACCTGGTGAAGGTTGGTTTGGGAAGTTTTGGGGAGGTAGAGTTGAGAAAACTTAGTGCTTAATTGAGGTGACAGGGAGAAAAGAGAGGTGCCCAGGAGGGCACTAAAGCTTTGGGTTTGGATGACTGGGTGGCAGGAGGTACCAGGAGATAGGAGTGCAGAGAGAGGTGAAGGAAGGAGGACAGGAGGCAGTTGGATATGAGAGTCCTCAACTCGGGAGATGAAGCTGGAGTGTTGGCAGAGATGGTAATTGAAGTCTTGGGACAATTCTTGGTTCATTGTTCATTGATTACATATTTCTGTCCTTTAAATATTTTAGGAGGCTCTGCTGTGAGTGCCTGAACTATCCATCTGTCTTCTTATGATGATTTAACCCCCTAGCTTGGGCTCCCGCTTTCCAGCAGGCACTTGAGGAGTTGCTCTGGGATGCAGGCTCATTTGCAATGCATCCTCCTCTTTTCCTCACTGGGGCTCAGCATGGGCCAGCCTTGGATACTCTTTGACCCTCTGAGCTCCACAGTGGTCTTGGGGGCAAAAAAAATGAGCCCTCAGCCCTAAAAGAAATTACAGGACTTTCTGAGTTGGGAGGGAGTAGGCTCTCCATTCCTTGCAGAGGTACAAATGGAGATGTCAGGTGGTGCTGTAGAGACTCCATTATTGTCTGACAGGTTGGACTGAGGATCTTTGGTTTCTCTTCAAACTGGATCTGGATGCTGAAGTGGAAAAAGAATGAGATTCTGCTAAGGATCCCTGGGCCTGAAGGCACTGAAAGAAGGTCACCAACTCCAGCCTTTCCCCTCCAACTCTGTCCACTGTAGAAGGCCATCTTTTTTTTGCATGCTGGGCAAGTGCTCTACCACTTGAGTCATGCTCCCAGTCCTTTTGCTTTCAGTTTATTTTGTCTGAGAAGACCTTGAACTGCAATCCTTCTACCTCTGTCTCCTGAGTAGCTGGGATTATAGGCACAATCCACCATACCTGGCTTGAGATACAATTATGCTAAGTTTTGTCCAGGTGGCCCTCCAAGTGTGATTTTCCTATCTCTGCCTCCCGAGGTGCTGGGATGACACATGGGTGCCACCATGTCTAGTCCAGAAAGTCATCATGTTTGATAGAGGCATTTAGCACAATTCCTGGCACAAATTCATGCTAGAAACTCAAATGTGCAGACACTGGTTTGAATCCCAGCTTGCCCATTCTAGCTGCACCTCTGCACCTCTCTTCTCTAAAATGGAGATGATAGCACTTACCTCCATCTGATTGAGCTGGAAGCAGTATAGCAAATGTAGCTTATTTGTAGTCAGCTAAAAACCTAGAGATAGTTTTCTGTGATGCTTTAGAAACCATGATTACTGAACTCTTCCTCTCCCCCGCCCCTGCTTGTCAGTATGAAATGCCCTTAGAAAAACTCTGGAAAGGGTTGGCAGCATGGAGTGGCATAAAAGAACGTCAAATCAGGGACCCTGGTTTTCATTTATGGTCAGACTTTTGCCAACAACTCAGTAACCCTGAGAACTAGCCCAGTATCTTCCCCAAACTTTCTCTCCAGCACAGATTCTGCCTCAGTTGCTGGCTGCACCTCCTTCATTTTGTGCAAGCTTAGAAACCTGAGTCATTCTATATACTTTCCTCTCCTCACACCCCCTCCATCTCTTTCCTAATCTAATTAGTTGCCAAGTCATGTCTAGTCTATCTCTGAAATAGCTTCGGTATCCATCCCTTCTCCCCATCCCCGAGTCTGCTGTCTGGTTCACGCCCTGGCTGCCCAGCACCTGGGCTGCTGCCTCCCCCGCTAGCTCATCCTCCACACCACCGCTGCTGGTTAATTCCCTAAACAAGGCTCTGATCACATTCTTTCCCTGTTGGAAACCCTTCTATGATACTCTGTTCTCCAAACTCTTTAGAGTAGTGCTTACTTGTCAGCTATTTATGGAGGCTTGCAGGTGTCAGGCACTGTGCTGGGTCCTGGGGTACCATGATGAATAATGAGGCCCAGTGTCTACCCCTGGGGAGCTTACCATTGGGTGAGTTTGACACTTATACAGATAAAACTACACTTAGGCACTGATAACTCACCTACCAACTAAAGGCAGTAGAAGAGGTGCTTGATCAAGGGGGGCCTGAAGGGCCTCATTTCAGGTTCACACTGCATTCTTCTTGCCTTGGCTCTTTAGCCCATTCCCTGGCCACACCATACTTGCTCATAAGTGTGTGCTTTGCCTTCTCCTTTCTGTCTGGTGTGTCCTTCCCTGCCTTCCTTTTGGGACAGTGCCTATGTATTCTTCAAGGACCAACTCCAGGGTCATTGCTACCTCTTCTAGGAAGCTTTCCTTGACTTACTTCATGCATTGTTCATGTGATCGCTCATTTATTTGTTCAGCAAACAGAACAAATTCCTCTGTCCATGCTTCCTTGCAGCACGTAAGTAGATTTTTGTGCTGGGATTGGATTAGACTTTATCATCATTATCTGTGGGGTATTCAAGGGCAGGGTCTCATTTGGTTTTGTGCCCCCAGGCCAAGCACAGAGCCCAGTACAATATTGCTCTGTAAATGCTTGCTGAATGAAGTCATCTAACAGCTCTGTACCACATTTTCTTTATCTGAGAAATAGGCATATTAACCTCTTCCCTTTTTTCCTGTTAGCAGATAGTGAGGTTCTGCCAGGAGTGTTTGTATATGTGAACTGCATGAAAGGACTTTAACAGGGGGCAGAAAGGGAAGAGTTCAGTTGCTGCTAGACTGCCCTAGACACACAGGCTCCTGGAATGTGATAGCTGGAAGGGCAGAAGACCTGCTCCTTTGTTGTCTTGGGCATTTCCCAGGTGGAAGGGCTGCACTCAAATGTTCCTGGTGCAGCTTATGGCTTTGCTCCTGGGGCTTATACTGGAGCACTACTTCTTGGCTTGGTATCCAGCCTGTGCTTTGGGTGTGCCCAGACACTGCAGAGTCCCTTTCTTCCTGGAATCTTGTTCTTTGGAAGGAGCAATGTGTCAGGAAGCAGTGGTGTGGAGGAGGCTCAGCCCCCACCTCTGCCTTCAACTTGGGCAAGTTCCTTCTCTCCCAGCCTTAGTTTCCCCATCTGTAAAATGGGATGGTTAGGTTATATAACCAGGATTTTGGGTACTTCTGTCACACTTCCCTAGCCCCTTGAGAGTCTTATTCACTCCTCCAGTTCAAATAACACTTCCACATGTAAACCCTTCCCGATTTTTCACTCTTCCCTTTGCAGTCCTATGACAAATGGCATATGTGCCCCTGTTATGCACCTATTTCTTAGCCACTGACCCACAGTCATGAACCCAGCTGGACAGAGAGGTTTGAATCAAGATCTGTGGAGACTTCATTGTCTGTGAAAGAGTCTTGCTACTGGCTATGGCAGCTTCTAGGGAGGAAGAGCTCCCTCCATGCTGAGTGGAGGAGGTGGCAGGTCCTGTTTCCTGCCCTTCCCCAAGAAGCCTCCCTTCCTTGGAAAAACAGGTCCTTTCTAGATGAAGTATGAGTTTGGCCTTAGCCTTGAGGGTAGCTTTCTCAGAAGTTATCAAACACAATAAAAAGAGAGCCCAGGCCTCAGTACTAGTCCACTGGGGCTCCTGCAGGCTGATTTAGAACTTGTATAGAACCTATACTGTCTTCAGAGCTGGGCCAGCTGCTCTCTGTTCCCTTTAGCTCAGTTGGTCTGCAACTGTGTTAAGCTTGTGCTCTGCTGGGCCTGTATTGTCCATTTAGGACATGTAGTAGGACACTCTGAGCTTTAGGAGACCTTTGCTAGAGGTGTGCAGAGATGGGTACCTCTACAAAGAAAATATCCCATGTATGCTGTAATGCACAAATGCCCTGGCCAGGAGATCTAGGTTCTGGACTTGGCTCCTCCACACAGTCTCTGGGACTAGTTTGAACTTGAGTTTCCTCCTCTGTATATGGGAGCTTTTATTAGTAGTCAGTATGCATCAGTGCTAGGCAGTGTGTCAAAGTGCTTCCAGTGGCTGGTCTCATTTCATTCACATGGAAGCCTGAGATAGGCACTGTTATTATTCCCATTTTGCAGAGAAGACCCTGCTTAGTGAGGGTAAGCCAATAATCCAATTAGTAAATTGCAGAATCTGAACTGAACTGGTGTTTTCATCATTGTATCATATTGCTTTAGGAATAGGGTCTCCCCTACCTGCCTTGGAGTCATGAATGAGGCTAGGGAAATATTTTTGCATCTTGAGCTAGTGTAGTATATAAAGAAGACATGGTGTAGATGGATCCTTGCTGTAGGTACATCAGTGGTGACTGGTGAGTGTCAGGGCTATGCGGTGGAGACTGCATTTGTGCTGAAAATCCTGCAGATGGAGATGGGCATACTGAAGGGTGAACTTTGGAATTCCATTTGATTCATATAATAAATATTTACTGTGCATCCATTGTGCGCTGAAAGCTGGTCATAAAGTAGCAAACCAGACATGATCTCAGCCCTAGTAGAACGCTTTGACTCTGTAGGTCATTGATGATATGACCTTGGGTAATTCCTAGCTTCCTTAGAAGTCTCAGGTTGCCCATCTGAACAAGGGAGTCCAGCAACCCTGCCTGTTGAAAGACAACAAGCAGTGGAAGTGCTTGGTGCCTGCAGAATGTCATATTGTAGCTAGTTTCTGGCCTTGTCATCCTGACTTGTATCTTGTTCTTCCCACAGGGCTGCCCAGGAGCTGCAGGACAGGCACCTGGAGCCCCTCCGGGTAGCTACTACCCTGGCCCCCCTCATGGTGGAGGGCAATATGGCAGCGGGATACCCCCTGGTGGTGGTTATGGGGGTCCTGCCCCTGGAGGGCCTTATGGACCACCAGCTGGTGGGGGGCCATATGGCCACCCCAATGCTGGCGGGCTCCCTTCTGGAACTCCAGGAGGACCATATGGTGGTGCGGCCCCAGGAGGCCCCTATGGTCAGCCACCTCCAAATTCATATGGTGCTCAGCAGCCTGGACCTTATGGACAGGGTAAGTTGGATCTTGGGTCCTGGGTGCCTCTGAGTCACTTATGGTCCATCCTGTCCTTCCTGTAGGTGTACAGGCACCCTGATCTCTGGCATCTTACTTCCAGCTAGCTCCTGCCTGTACCAGCCGAATGAAAAGATTGTCAGTCAGTTTTACTATGGTGACAACTTCAAAATCTCCCTGGTTTACAACAAGCATTTATTTATATTGCTTTACTCTTTTTTATATGTCAGCAGCTGCAGGTTGGTAGCTGAATTTCTGTTCCATATGTCTTTTCATTCTGGGATCCAGGCTGAAGAAGCATCCCCAATTTGGGATATGTTGTTCTTGAGGCAGAGAAGAAGAGCAGGAAGGTAGTGAAGATGGATGATGGCTTGTAAAGTTTCTACTCTGAAGTACTGTACATCTCATGTACTCATATTCTTTTGGCCAAAGCAATTCCCCTTTTCAAGTCTGACATTGATAGAATGGGAATCGGTTCTCTCTCATGAAGCGTTCTTTCAGCTGCCAGACAGTGGGAGAGGGTGTGCAGTGCTTGTATTGGGAAGGGAGATCAGCAAATAGTTGAAGACCATAATGTAGTCCAGGTGGGGAGAAGCCCCATTCCTGTATGAGGGAGACTGACCACCCTCTATAGCAATGCAGGACCATGTAGTTATTGAAAGGTTGGCTTTTGAGATCAGACCACTACTGATCTGGCCAAACCACCTCTTTGTGTCTACATCTGCAAAATGTGGCAATACCACTACCTCACAGAGTTGTTCATAAGGATCAAATGAAAAGGTTCTGGTAAATACTGGACATGGTGTCTGGGCTTAATAAATAATAATTCTGTAAGAAGACTTATTTTAGGGCATTCTCAGCAAAGAAGTATTTGCCATTTAATATGACAGTACATATTGCTGTGGGCCTTGCCATTAAAAGATGCTGAAGTAGGCAGGAGGATGAAATGGGGGAAAGGAAAAGCAGAGAGACTGAAGGCTCCCCTTTAAGATGAAGGAAGAGCGGGGTCTTGGAGATTCAGTAGTGGCAGAGAGCCTTGGGTAGTAGTTTCACCCTCAGTGAAGATTTCTGAGCAGTCTCAGAGGGTCAGGGAAAGTGGGTGCCAGTTTCCTGCCTTCCCTTTCCCCCCAAACTCATTTTAATTAGCTCCTTCACATAGTGAATGTTGCCAGGAGAGTAAGCCACCAGCAAGGTGTAACACTTTGGTGCACCAGAAGGCCTCCGGGGAATGTCCTGCAGAGTGTATGCACCCAGGCAGGTGGCCCTGGGGGAGATGGCCAAACCTCAGGGGTTCTGAACAATGACATTTATCTCCTCAGAGCCCAGAGCATCTGGCCATTTGCTTTCGTCTCAGCAGCTCTCTGGTGGATTTCCACAGCCCAAAAAATCTTGTATCTGAGCCCACAGGAGGTAACTGCAGAGAAAGGAGCCCCTGGCTCTGAGGCTTATCCCTCCAGGGCCTGAGACTGTGGTAATCTCTAGGGCTGGAGAGGAGGGGAGGGACATGCCTCACATGCTCAGCTGCTTCCCTGCTCCTTTCTTCCATTTGGCTACCATTGCCTCCTCTCCAGTGCAGCTAGCGATAGCAACCCCCTGGAGCAGTCCTGCTTACAGTGTGATCCGTGCATAGCCTGGAGTCCTTGGGAGGCCCTACCATCAGGGTTTGAGCACTGCTGCTCTGGAAGACAGGTGTGACCATTAGAGGTGCTCCTCTGCCTGCAGAAAGATACTAAAGGTCCTTTTTTCCAGCCCCTCCACCTGCTGCCACCCTTCCATCCCCCGAGATCCCTCAGAATACACTGGAACGCTGTGCCTTCACTACCTGCTGTTTCTTCTCCCCGTCTCACTCCTTACCACATTTTCCGACCCAGTTGAAATATTCCTTCTGCCATGAAAATATCTCCGACCACACCCATTCCATCTCTTTCTAAGAACTTTATTTTGATGCTATTTCATGTAAGGATCACAGCCATCCTGAGAAGGGGGTTCATTTTAGAAATGGGAAAATCAACACTTAGAAAGTTACACATTTTGCCTGAAGTCACACAGACTAGTAAGGATCAGATCAGGATTTGAATTCAGTCTGCTTTGATTCCAAAGCTGGATAGAGAGCTTCTATACAAACCACGCAGCTCACACTTGCTGAAGAAACTCCCTGCCCAGAGCTGTGGCCCTCGCTTCCCCATTACACTACAGTTTTAGGATGGTGCCTAAATTCCCAATCTAAGCAGGTCATACTAGCCCCTCAGTCAGGCAGACCTTTTCCCTGTGGCCTCACCTTTGGGTATGGACAGTGATTTCTGTCTTCCACAACTGCCCGTGACTGATGCTGATACTGTCTTGTGTGAAGGAGCCCCTTTTGTGTCCAGTTAACTCTTTCTTCTAATGTGATTTCTTGTCTACTTGTATTTACCACCCTAAACCTCAGGTCATCTTTTGCAAAGAATTGTTGATATGGTAGAGGGGAACAGGAAACATAAGATCAAATGGAGAAGTGATTGAGAAATTATATAAAAAGTCTGCAGGACTCGTGGAGTAAAAATCAACTGTAAACACTTGTGAGTCTACACCAAAGGCCTCTCACATCAGAGTAAGGATGTCAACTTGATGGAAGATGGAGTAGATAGATTTGTAAGGCTTTATGGGCAAGGAAAACCTATAGCCAGGGAGGCACTGAAGCTGGCCTTGCCTGGCATTTCTGTGGATTGGCCTTGAGACCTGGATCTGACTTTCCTGGTTCATGCCCCTCCCCCCAGGTGGCATCCCTCCCAACGTAGATCCTGAGGCCTACTCCTGGTTCCAGTCAGTGGATGCCGATCACAGTGGCTATATCTCCATCAAGGAGCTGAAGCAGGCCCTGGTCAACTCTAACTGGTCCTCATTCAATGATGAGACCTGCCTCATGATGATAAGTGAGTCCCAGCCCTTCCCCACGGCCTTGAGCTGGGGCAGAGCTACCTGATAGTTGACAGTAGGTGGCTAAGTGTCCAGTCTGAGGAGAACTCCTTTTATCAGGGAGTATTTCCAGGAGGAAGCGTGGTTCAAGGTGAGATCTAAACTGAGAGCTCTTTCCCTTGGATGTTTCTCAAGTTCTACACTGCTGAGTTACAGACTGGTTCATTCTGCAGGCAGGAACTCCCTTTCATGGTAGGAAATGGCAGGGAGGAGTCAGTGGATCCAGGTCTTAGAGCTCAGCTGCAAAGCCTGCAGAGAAGATGCAGTTCCAGATGGGTTGGGGCTGAGGGTTGTCAGGGAATGGTCTGGGGCTATGTTTGATGCCAATGTCTCAGGCACAGGCATCTGGGCCTCAGGCTTGTAGTTATAGTCTCCTACTTGTAGTCCTACTCCAGCCTAGGGAGAAGGGTTTCCTCAGTGGTGCTCTTAAGCCTTCAGTCTTAAAATTTTCCTCCCTTCTTCCCCTCCTCCTCAGACATGTTTGACAAGACCAAGTCAGGACGCATTGATGTCTATGGTTTCTCAGCCCTATGGAAATTCATCCAGCAGTGGAAGAACCTCTTCCAGCAGTATGACCGAGACCATTCAGGTTCTATCAGCTACACGGAACTACAGCAAGGTGAGGGCCATAGTGGGCAAGACAGAGCTAGATTCTTCTCTTTACTCCCTAAGACAGAACAAAGGGTTTTCTCACTGCCAGATGTCCAACTGTATCACAAAATGCTGTCCTCAGTGCAGGCCCATTCATACATCCCTTCTGTGATCCGGCTGGAGTACTGAGCAAAATCCAGGGCAAGGGAACTCTGGGTCTAGAATCAGGGATGGCATCCCTGGTGACAGGACTCCTACACTGCTGGGAGGGACAGCCCTAGTTCACAGAGGACATCACAGAGATGGAAACATGGCACCCCAGCGTACTTGGAGACCCATGTGTGTGTCTCATATGGCTCTTTTTCTCTAGTTCCAGTGGGTAGGATAGAAAGAGCCCTGCATAGGGACTCAGAAAGATAGCTGAGCCACTTCTGCCAGAAGTCAGTTTCTTCTCAACTCTGAGAGCCAGAGCACTCTAAAAGTTGCAGTTGGATGAGATGATGTGAGGCCTCAGTTCCAGGTCTCTTCAATCCGATTATTGGACCAGAGCCCATGGCCTGAGCTCAGGCCAGTTGATAAGATGACAGGAGGCTGATGGAGTTGTGAGAACCCAGCGAGAGTTCTATCACCCAGGAGGAAGAAAGTGCTGCCCAGAACATCCAATCCTTTGGCCATGAATTTCAGTCAGACTAAGGAGGCCTGTGGGTGGGGGTGAATGCACCATATCTGGAGGGAGGTACATGACTGGTACTGATCATTGCCTTGCCAGTTTCTGTCATAGTTATTCGTGAGGATGATGCTAACAACAATAAAACTAGCGTTTGTTAAATGCTTGCTGTGCCCCAGGCACTGTAATAGCATTTAAATAGGTTTATATAATTCATTCTTTCCATGTGCTAGATCTGTTTATTATTCCTCACCCTTTGGTGAAAAACCCCTTATGTCTTCCTTTTACAAATAAGAAAACTGAGGCTTAGTGTGCATAACTGCTGAAGGGCCTGCAGAGCACAGAGAAGGCTGAGATTTTAGCCTGGGCTGGTAAGTTATGTGGAGAAGACAGGAAGTATGGGGAGGGGCACGTGGGCTGTGACTTTGGAACTACCTGGCAGCCTCATGTGGGGAGATGATGATTTTATTAAAAGAAAACACTATAGCTGGGCGCCAGTGGCTCATGCCTGTGATCCTAGCTACTAAGGAGGCAAGAGATCAGGAGGATCGAAGTTCGAAGCCAACCCAGGCAAATAGTTTGCAAGACCTTATCTTGAAAAAACTATTCATAAAAAAGGGCTAGTGCAGTGTTTAAGACGTAGACTCTGAGTTCAAACCCCAGTAAAACACACACACACACACACACACACACACACACTCACTCACTCACTCACTCACTCACTCACTCTCTTACTGAGCCAGGCATTGTGGCATATGCCTGTCATCCCAGCATTGAAAGTTAAAGCCAGCCTGGACTAAATAAGGAGAACTTGTCTCAAAAACAAAAACAAAAACAAAAAATCACAGTGCCAGGCACTGTGCTAAGTGGGTACGTGATCATGTTTAATCCTTACTAGATCCATAAGGTTAAGTGTCATCCCTGTTTTGGGGATAGTTAGACAGGGAGATAGTGAGACTAAGCAGCTTGTGCAAGGACTGTCTGATTCCAGCAGAACAGGCCTGGGCTGCTGTCTCTGATCCCTGCTCTAAGCAGGGTGGTCCAGGAACTTAATCTTCCTTCTATGATTTAGATGAGTCAGAGGTGATCATAGATAGAGCACTGTCTTCTCTGTGACCCTATCTGAACATCTATAATGGAGATTTGAAAATACAGCGAGGGGACCTTCTGGCTTGGGGGAGTATCTAGACAGAGCCCCTGTTGTGCTCCTGACATCTTGAACAGATCCTCAGGACTTCTCTGTCCATTCCTGCTTCTGTGCAGTGCTGATCTCCTCAGTCCTCTGATTTGTTGTATTGAGTGTTGCTGGGCAATGGAAATAACTCATGGCAGATTTTTGTGTATCTGCTTTGTGTGCCCCTCCTCTCCAGCTCTGTCCCAAATGGGCTACAACCTGAGCCCTCAGTTCACCCAGCTCCTGGTCTCCCGCTACTGCCCTCGCTCTGCCAATCCTGCCATGCAGCTTGACCGCTTCATCCAGGTGTGCACCCAGCTGCAGGTGCTCACTGAGGCCTTCCGGGAGAAGGACACAGCTGTACAGGGCAACATTCGACTCAGCTTTGAGGACTTCGTCACCATGACGGCTTCTCGGATGCTATGACCCAGCCTGTCTGTAGAGAGTGGAGCACACCAAGGACCTTCCCTGGCTCCTCAAGTGGGAGAAGCATGTGGGCCTCTCTTCTTTGCCTGCCCCTCCTAGAAAAAGATTCTCCTTTGCTTGATGCAGCACTGTTCCTAAAGAGGGTTGGGAGTCCCGAGTTAGAGTCACCAAATAGTGGGACCTGGCCTGCAGCCACACAGGTAAGAGCCTGACCTAGAGGAAGATTCGAAGCTGATTGTCCTAACAGCCCTGAGCAGTTGAAGGCACAACCTTGTACCAAAAGCAGGAGGTGCCAGTCATGTCAGTAGAGTTAGTGCCTGGTCACTATGCCGTGGCCTCCTGCTTTCTCCTCTGTGCTGATGTCAGTGGTAAGTGTTCATTATCCTCTTACCAATAGCACCTGTCTTCTGTTACCCAGGCCATCATATGTCAGATGAGCCTGGTTTCTCTAAATTGGAATCTGACTAAGCATGAGAGAGATTTGTCTGTGGGACCAGTGGCTTGAGTTCACCCACACCCATATCCACGCATCCTTGTTTTAACTTCCAGCTGCCTAGGGACTGTCCCTGCTCAGGAAGCACAGACAGTCTGCTGTCTGGACATATTTGACCAGGTTACTGCCCTCTGAAACTTGGACCCCCTCACTTGCCTACCGTGTTCTGCTTGGCTCAGTGTGCCCTTGGGCACAGTTGTCACTTCCACTGCCAATGCTTTTTTTTAAGTTGCATTTTTTTCATTTGGGGCCAAAAGTCCAGTGAAACTATAAACTTCAATAAAAGGATGAAACTCTGTCATTCCATGTTTCCCACTGTGACTTCCCGGCTATAGGCTCATGCCCATCCATGAGCATGAAAGTGTCACCCATGTACCCTTTCATTCAGTAAATGTTTAAGTACATATTGTTTACCACACCATACTGAAAGCAGTAACTTGATGGGCTGTGGCCAAGATGAGGCTCCTCTTACTTGCCAGAGTAAAGCTGAGGCCCTGCCAGGCTCACTTCTGTGTGGCATTTTAGAACTGGCATTCCGGACTGGAAGCAGCCACCTCAGACTTTTTCAAGGCATGGCCTTTTTATCATCTCAGGCCTGAGTTTTATCTTTCAGACAAACTCCATTTATAAAGTCATAACTTTCCCCCATTTTTATTAAGCACGGACGTCTGTACCTGCCAGTTGGATCTCTAGATCAGCTTGATATTCAGTCTATACTGAGTGTCTATAACAAGGTGACAAAATTTCCATCAAAAGCTGGACACCAGACATGCTAGGGGTAATGGTGTGATTATCCTTTGGCTTTTGGAGATGGAGATAAGAGCTCTGAGGCTGGAGGCCATCAGCAGGGCTCTCCCTGCAGGGGGTGGGGATGGAGAATGGCTGTGACTGTTTTGCAGGTCAGTGAGGCCCCACAGCCAGGTCAGGCTCAGCTAGTTCAGCACCTCTGGGCTACTGTGGCTCCAAAATCCCAAAATCAGATGGAATCCAGTTCCCAGAGGTCAGCCCTGTTGTGAACTAGAATCCCCTCCAGGGGTATCTGTGGAGTACGGCTTCTGTTGGCAACCTCCAAGGTCAAGAAACATTAGGCTTTTGCAGGTAGCTCATTTCTTCCTTGACTGGTAGAAACTTCTTCCTGGCATGGATTCTAAATCCTGCCATTTTGGAAACACCAGCCATTGCCCCTGGTTTTCTTTCTCAGGCCACTGAGGGCACACCAGGACCCTTGCCATATGCCAGTCCTCTGGATAGTGGAGCCTGCCCACCACATTCCCACAAGTTCTCTCCTAAGCCAGGTAACCTGAGTTCTTCAGCTGTTCCTCCCAGAGCGTCTCTCTGCTTGGTATGCTGGTTACCTCCTATTTATCAGAAGCCCCCAAAGTGGAAGCCTATGGCCTATCATGGTCCTGGGTCCAACCAGCAGAGAGAGAGGAGAATTGCAATCCTCAAAGGAAGATCCTATTGTTCCTTTGTTCCTGCTGAGACAAGTGTCCACTGAAAGCCATCTTGATTTTATTTATTTATTTATTTTGTGGTGCTGGGGATGGAACTCAGGGCCTCACACATGCTAGGCAAGCACTCTACTACTGAGCTACACCCCGAGCCCTCAAACCCATCTTTAGAATGGTGCCAATCACAGTCTCTACCTTTGTGCTCAGGGTGGCTGAGGGCCCAAGACCTGGGTGGATGCTTTCAGTCCAGGTTGGCTCTGGGCCTGGGGTCCAGCCTTTATACCTCATTGTGCACTCTGTACCTCCACACCTGCCTGTGGACTTTATGAACAGCTTTAGATTCCAGAGCCAGTGGGAGGTAGAGTGGGCAGGGCATCCCATCCCTCCTGGCAACTGCTGCATCATCCACTGAGCTAGAGCTCAGTGAGTCTGGAGAGTGGATGACATGCTTAACACACATAGTCCACCTGCTCTGAGTCAACTGGGACTCCTAAGAGGAGCTGTACCTAGGTACTCCTTGGCTGGGCCTCATGGTTCTGCCCCACTTCCTGACAGGCGATGTCAGGGGAGCCTGCTCCATTAATCAACTGAAGCACACCTGGTGGCTGTGCTGGCCTCAGCCAGATATCCCCTGCTCCTTTAACAGAACAGCACTCCAGACTATGCTCTGTCCTGCTCTGGCAGCCCTGTAATCAGCTCGGTGGCAGCCGGAGCACGTCCAGCCCAGTCTGGCTTTCTCTTTTTATCCTGTGAGTTCATAGAAAATAAATGAACCACTGATTTCCAAGAAGATGAGGGAACAGTAAATCACTCTGTTAACCTGCTGTCTGCCCACCCTACCCTCTTACCTTCCAGAGGCCATGGGGCCAGGAGCAGAAACTCTGTCAAGGGATCGAGGTTCTAGGCATCAGAGCCCTGGCACCACAAGGAAGCAGTGCTGCCTGTGCCCTGAGTCCATCTGGGGCCTGGTGTGGGTATAGGTGGGGGTGCAGCAGATAATAGCATTCCAGTGCCTTCTTGTCTGGCCTTCCCCCACCTTCCTCTACTAACCTGAGCAGCACAGATTTTGTGTAATGACAAGGAAAGGGAACATTCAGTGCCAGGCTTTTAATTACAATTGCTTCAGGCTGCTGGCCTCCATGCTGAACGACCGCATGGAGAGTTTTATCACACCACAAAGCCAACAAGGTCCAGCCTATGGTGTGTGCACTTGGCACCTGGTGAGGGTGGGCTGTGTTCAGAGCTTACTGGAGAAGGGCTGGGCTTAGATTAGGTCACATAGGCATCAGAGCAGCTGGCCAAGTGCAGCTTGGCTTTAGGGAGCCCCTGAGCCAGATGGAAACGCCTGTGGGGACCTTTGGAGCTGACTCCAGGGAAGGCCTATAATTGGATTGGAGAGGGGTCTTTGGGAGGAAGGCCAAGCTCTGGAAGGGTGATGAGGATGGATGGTACAGTAGGGTATGACCATGTGAGAGAAGTACAACAGTAACCATGTCCACAGCATAGTATAGTTTACAGAGAGCTCTCCTCTTTCTTGAACTGCTTAATCCTCACATCAACTCTGCTTAGGGAACACAAGCTCAGAGGGGGAAGAACTTACTCAGAGTCACCCAGACAGAAAGCCAGGACTGGAGCCCCAGCCTCTCACTGTACAAGTAGTTTGTCTGTGAGGCTCAGGAGTGGATCCCAGCAGCCAGAAGAGCAGTCCAGGCAAGGATCAGGCTGTATCTCCCAGAGCCTTTGAAGCAGCTCTCCTCAGGGCAGTACTGTGGTGACAGTGGTGAGCACTATGTGCTCAGAGACTTTGGAAACGGAGCACCGGCTCTGCAAGGACAAGGACTTGTGGCTGGCAGATGAGCGAGGACTGGGGGCCTTTAGAGTGCTGCAGGGACCCAGGCCAGGCAGGCAGCAGGAGAAGGCAGCTTTAAACTGCTCCCGGAATTTGCCTTGGTTGGGAGACAAAAGACACAGTCATAAACAAATGGAATAGGAAGGGGACTTGAGCCCAAGGGAAACCCACACAGCTCCAGCCACACTGCCTGTGAGGGAGTGGGGAGGGAGGGGTGAAACTGGGATGGAGAGCCTGGACAGAGACCCCACCCCGTTCCTGAAGCAAAATGCAATTGTCATCTGATTCCTTGACTGCACTGTGGCTCAAAGCCTGGCTTAAGACATGGTGTCTGGCTCAGGGGCCTCAGGTCACCTCTGCTCTCCTTGGCAGGCATGTGAAGGGGATCAGGGCTCACTGTTGCGAGGCTTTTCCCAGTTCTGCCCTGTGATGATGAAATGAAAGCAATGGCCCTGCAAGTGTCAGTCACACTGCACCAGACACTATGCTCGGACCTCAGTCTCTGTTCCCATGGGGAGAAAATGTACTTTATCCTCACTTCACAGGTGAGATGTACAGAGATACAGTGGCTTGCCCAAGGCCATACAGCAGAGCTGAGCCAGGTCTCTTAACCAGGAGGACAGAGTGGGGTAGGAGGGACCACACACCACCCTGTTCAGCCCAAGTATACCAAGAGGGACAGAGGTTTTCTTGGAAACAAACACTCCTTGAATATGTGTCATCAGCATGCCAGCCACTGTGGTGCCCAGCACAGGGCCGAGCACACAGTAGATTCTCAATAAACACAGGCCAGACTAAAAGGTGTGCTCCAGGAAGTCAGCCTGCCCTTGCCTCCCAGGCAATGCTCCTCTCTTGTGTTCTCTCCTCTTGAGCTGAGAACCAGCTTTTATTGAGGACTTCTTGGGTCACAGGGAAGGTTATATTATTGAACTCTGCTCCCTTCTCCAACGTCTTAACTGTTTCTGAAAGACTATTTGTGTCCAGGCTTGAGCAGTTATCTGGATGGGCTCCTTAGAGCCCAGTTAGGGATCTAGTGAGTAACTTCTGCTAAGCCAAGTCTGAGGGACCAGGCCATGACCACCCTGAGACTGGAAGGTACCAGGTAGAGATGGGAATTACAGGACAACGACAGGAAGCCCTTGGTTGGAGTGGGGGCCTGGGTTCTAGTGGAGAGAGTGAAAGGGCTAAGGTTGGAGGCAGATGGATCCAAGCATAGCCCACAAGATTTTGGCTACCCAGAACACCCTGCCAGTGTGTCTAGCTGAGCAGGGGGAAGCCCTTTCTGGGGCCTGGGCTGCCTCTACTGCTGACCTTCCCTTCTCCCCCTCCAGGGCTATATTATCTGTCCCTCCGACAGGGGCTCCAGGTCTTCTTCCCACAGACCAGGCTCCCCCTGAGAAGATGGGCTGGTCTGCCTGTGTTGGCCAGAGAGAAGCTGGTGGAAGGTCCTGCTGCGTATGTCCAAAGTGTGTGTGGGGGTGAGCAGGGGGAGGCAGCTAGCCCAGGCCCTGCTTTCCTCTCACTCACTGGTTTGCAGAATCTGTCAAACTCCATCCTGGGTGCTTGCCACTGGTGAAAGCACGGCCTGTCTCCCGCTCAGGACAGGGCTTCTGGGGGACAAGTCTCCCCTGAGCAGGGGTTCCCAGGGCAGGGTCATGGTGCCCAGGAGAAAACAGGTACATTTCCCCCACCATTCTGAAATGGGAGATTTATCCTGAGGACTGCCGGCTACCCTCAGTCACTGCCTGCCCAGTCTACTCACCACTGAGGAAGTTGTAGATGATAGGGTTGGCAGCGCTGTTGGCATACACCAGCCAGTGGGAGAAGGTGAAGCAAGCATAGACGGCTTCCCGGTCGCTGGCCTGGCGGAACATCCCAAACACCCTGGCACCAGGGTATAGGATGGTCAGAAATGGGGTAGGTGTGTGTGGGAGGGGTGCTCAGAGAACTCCAGATGTGAAGTTCCAGGGTGCCCACTGTCCACTACTGTCCACGGGGTGGCCCTCTCTTGGGTCCCTGGGTCTGAGAGCTTGACCACAGTTTTGGGTTCTCGAGCATGGAGAGCATAACCAGAGTGGGACTAGGGTCAGGAACCAACCAGGGTTTATCTGCTCAGTCACCAGCTATCTGGTCCGCTGGAGACCCCCTATCCATCTTCCCATTCATCCTCACAGCAATGTGATAACTGACCATGGACAGATGCCATCTGTTTTTCAGTTAGGGAAACAGTGTCAGAAAACCAAAGTGACGTACTCAAGGTCACACAGTCAGGACATGGCCAAGCAGAAATGCACACAGATTGTCTCCTGTCCAATAGCCTATGTTCTTTCATCAGCACTTGGTGGTCCCTTATCTGCAGTGCCCCTGTGTCCCTTTGCCTAGATCTCTGTCCCTCTAGACCCTTGTAGGCTCCCTCCCTTCTTCCTAGTCTCTGCTCAAGTGTCACTTCCTCAGAGAGGCTTTTTTGAGACAGGGCCTCGCTATGTAACCCAGGCTGGCCTTGAACTTGTGATCCCTCTGCCTCAGCCTCTTGAGTGCTGGGATTACAGGTGTTGCACAATGCCCAGCTTCTCAGAGAGGCTTAAAAAAAAAAACTATCTAAAATAAAAACAAACCCACCAACCCCTGTCATTATCACTATCTATCTTCTTTGGTTTGGTTGGTTCCACATAGCAACTGTCACTGATGATATACACTGATTTTTTCTACTTATTTTCCTTCTTTCCCTCTGTAGCATAACCTCCATGAAGGCAGGGACTTTGTCTGTCTTGTGGATTTGTTCACCCTGAACTTGACCAAGTGAATGGAGAAATGAGTTTTCACAATCTCCCTAGGAGCCAGGACTATTGTTATTCCCATGTAAAGACTGAGGAGATGGAGGGGCAGAAAAGAGCAACGACCTGCCCAAGGTCGCACCTTTTGTGGCAAAGTGGTGCTGCAAGGAGAGCTCCTTCCTCTGACCCATCCCTCTCCTCCCCAACCCTCATGCTCTGACCTCTTGAGGACGTTGAGGACACTGATAGGCAGGTAGCAGAGGGCAAAGACCAGCAGCACCACCATCAGCATCCTGGCCGTCTTCCTCCGAGCTCTCATCTGCTTCACCTCCGCCAGGAAGGCACGGGCCCGGGGCTGGGACTCTGTGCTCAGACCCTGCCCCTGGGCCTCCAGCTGGTCTGAGGGCCGCTTCCAGTTCCGAACCAGGGCTGAAGTGGTACCAGGGATCTGTCCAGCACACACAGACAGCAGCAGTGGGTCTCACTCCTTGAGAGGGTCCTTCTCTTTCCTTGGGCCCACTCTAGGCTGGACCACAGGGCAGGGTGGAGGTGGGCAAGGAACAAACTCCCACAATAGGAGGGAACCTGATATCCATGATAAAGCAGAACCTCCAGACTCACTGAGCAATGTACTTCATTTTTCCATAGCTCCTTGTGAAAGCACCTACAATATGCTTCTGGAAAGGTATTATTAGCCTTTAGCTCTAAGATGAGGCTGCTGAGTCTCAAAGAGGTGGGGGACCCTTGACAAGGCCCCAGGCAGAGCCTGGGTCTAACCAGTCCACCTCCCTACCCACTACCTGCACGGCCTGGGTGCAGGTCAGCACTGTGTGTGCAATGTAAGTGACATTCCAGAACGTGGGTACCCCTGCCCACATCTCTCTCACTGCCAGGTACTGACTCACTGTCACTAGTGCTAAGGGCCTCTCAGCACCCTTCTCCCACGAGCCCTCTCACCCCAGGAAGCCCTCTGTGGGGCCATTTGTAATGAAAGAAGTCGGGCCCTGGAACTGGCAGGGCTCTGTCCTCATTGGCCTTGGCAGGTGAGTCACCCCTGTTCCCCACTGGGAAGTAGGCAATAGTGCCTCTTTTATTAGGTAGGTATAAAACATTGCATGCAAAGCCTAATTTGGCAAGCAACTCAGAGCTACTATTATTACCACTGTGGTACTAAACCAAGCATTGGAACCTCACAGACATGGGTTTTAATCCCTGATTTTCTACTCACTAGCTGAGTGCTTTGGGGGACCTTATGTTGCTTCTCTGAGTCTCTGTATTCCCACACATTAAGTGGGGGGATAAGACACAGTGATTAAAAGGCTGCAAGATTAGCTGTGGGCAATAAATGACAGCTACTGACACTGGAAGCGTGTTAGTTACCCTCCTGTCCCAGGGTGGGTGCTAGCACTTGGACCTCAAGTTCCCCGTGGTCCTGGGCCTTGACTCTCTCCAGTTACAGCCACTATGCCATGTTCTGTCTACTACCTTAGCCTGGCAGCCCCACCCCTCCCAGCTTGGGCAGCAACAGCAGTGGGCCTCACCTGGCGACCCCAGAGCTTGCGGAAGATCTGGAAATAGGCCATGGCCATAAGGCCCAGCGGGGCCAGGTAAGTGACAATGAAGAAGCAACTATGGTAGATCTTGGGGTACAGGTCATCTGTAGGGGTTGAGAGATGCAAGGGTCAGGGCCAACTTGGGAGCCCCAACCCACCCTGGTTAGTAAAACCACACTGTCCTCACTAGGGCCAAAGCAAGGCTGGGGACGGCTTGGACCCCATGCAGGCACTGTGGCAATGAGAGAGCCCGGAGTTGCCCAAGCTGGTGGTGCCCATCACCACCAGCTAGGTGGAGACACCCCTAGCAGATGTCCACATATCTGGAGGTGCCCACCCTGGAAATGGCCTGACAGGTGCCTGTCCTAGGCTATGTGTCCCAAAGGTGCCCACCATTACCTGTCCAGTGTTCATCACAGACAGAGAACAGCCGGGTGCGGTTGGCTAGCTCTGGCAGCACACTGCTGCATTCCATAACAGCAGCCTGGGGCACCATGACAGCCAACGACACAGCCCAGATACCCAGGATGGAGCCACGGGCACGCCGGGCTGTGCTCTTGAACAATAGTGGGTGGCAGATGGCATACCAGCGGTCCAGCGCAATGAAGCTGAGAGTCAGGACAGCCACAGACACAGACACGGCCTACTCCAGGGGACACAACATCAGAGACATGGAGGCAATGTAAGTGGGGGTAGTCACAGTCTAGAGATACCAGGCAGCCGAGTGTAGTGCAAATCCTTACATCACCTCTTATTGGCTGTGTGAATTTAGACAAGTCACTCACCCTCTCTGAGCCTCATCTGCAGAGTGGGAACATACCCATCTACCTGGCAGGATTCTGGTGAGAATAAGTGAAATGATACATGGAAAATGTCTAGGTGGAGACCTGGCTCATAGCATAAAGAGGCTCCCCTGCCATGAATAATTATACTTCATAACTTAATCTGTGCCAGGCATTGCTCTTTTTGACCTCATGATACCATGAGGTGCATGCTGTTTACAGATGGGGAAACTGAGGAACAAAATTCCCTCATCTGTCTTTATGTTTAAGGTCATCAGAGTTAATCAGTTAAGTGGAAAACCTCAAACAGTGAGGAATTCAAGAAACATTTCTCTCACTCTGGAATGCCATCCCTTCCCCACACTGTGAGGAAAAATCTGTTCTGGAAGGCAGAGATGAGTCTGGACCAGTAGTGTGCATAGGCATTGACTCCAGGGATGCCCCTGACCTCTAGGGTACAGGAAGAGGGTAGAGGGGTACAAGTAAAAGGTCACACTAGCACTGGTATGCCCTTCTACCCCACTCACCCCATCTGGGCATCCTGGTGCCCACCACTGGGGAAAAGGGACCCAGGTCAGCTAGAGGGGTGGGAGAAGACAGTGTCTATCAGTCCCCCTCAGGTCTGCCCCGCCCAGGGGTCAGGGAGTGTTTGGGTCTATATCACTGTGAGCTTGTGCCTCCCCTCTACGGTGTGTCATATACCTGGAGGTGACTGTGTGTGCACATGTGAACATGCATGTCTGTCTCTAGGAGGGACGTCTGTGTAAGCATGTGGAATTGTCTGGGTCCTTGAGTGTCCAGCCGGGTGGCTTGCCTTACTGGCTGTAAGGGATGACATTGATGGGGTCCCAAGCCATCATAATATGTCTGAAAGGCAGGTCTGAACACAGATCTAAAAAGTATGTGAGTTTCGGACAGGTGTGACAGGCTGGTGAGGGTGCTAGGAGATCTCACCTGAAGATAGGGGATGACCTTGCACAGGGCAGGGCCAAAGAGCCACGACTCAGTGATGTCCACTAGCAGGCTGGCTGGCAGGCAGATGGCTGTCACCAGCACATCAGCCAGGGACAGGTTGACGATAAAGTAGTTGGTGACCGTCCTCATATGGTGGTTCCGCCACACGGCCAGGCAGACTGCAGGCACAGGCGGGGTGAGTTTAGAGGAAGAGCCATACCCCCACCACCCATCCTACCCTGCCAACTGGAAGGGGGGCAGCAGGTGAGACCCAGGACCCCTCCAGGGGAAGCCCAAAGCACCACAGAGCAAAATCCACACCTACCCAGCGTGTTGCCCACCAGGGCTATGAGAAACACAGCAACATAGGCTGCTATGAGGACCCACTCGTACTGCTTCGGGTACAGATAATCCCGCCACAGGTAGCGGAGGAACTCGTCTTCATAGTCTGGAGGCACGTGGGAAGGTTCCCCGCTGCCACTGGGGACCCCTGTCTGGGCCCCAGGGGTAGCAGAGGGCTCCATGAGCTCAGGGGGGGCTACAGCCCTGGGACATCCTGGGCTCTGCAGAGGGAGGGGAGCCCTGGCTAGCCCTCAGCCCACTTCCTTTGGGGGGCAGGTCTTGTACTTAGGTTTTGGGGTCCCAGCTTGAACCTCCTGAAGGAAGGAAGGAGAAAAGGAAGGGAAGGAGGGAGGAATCATTAGGGCATATGCCTGGCACTTTGTGTATTGCTCCATCTTCATTCAGCCCAGAAGTCGGCCTGGTTGCATCCCAATTCCACACGAGTTGCTCTTGGGTAACTTGCCTCCCTCTTTCAGTCTCAGTTTCCCCATACAATAGAGTCCAACAGAGTGATAAGGGTACCTACCTCCCAGGGCCACGATGAGTGGTAATGAACTCTAATTCGTGCAAGTGTTTCACCCAGGACCTAGCATGGGACGCTGTCCTCATGGCCGTTGCTGGGTAACATTATTGGGGAGACCTGCTTTGCAAATGAGAAGACGGAAGCCCAGAGAGGTTGAGCCGCTTGCTCAAGGTCACAAAGCTGAGCCAGGTTGGTCTGGATCCACCAAACACCACACATTTGGAAGGGGAAGTCGTCCCGATTGCAAATATTCTCTCGAGTCAGTCAATTCACCAGCCTTGATTTTTGGTTGGAAAAAAAGGGTTGGGGGAGGTATTAGAGATCCAGGCCCCGCCCATCCGACCTGCCAGGCCCTTCCGGGTGGGCGCGCCCGCACACGCACACACACCCACGCACACGCCGGGAAGGTGCGGGGAGGACCTGACGACCTCCCTGCGAATGAGGGAAGAGCCCGGGACCCAGCGGCGCGGCCCTCACACCGGGTGCAAGGTCCCCCTTGGAGTCCCCAGGACCGCGATGCTCCCCGGCGGCCGCCAGGGGGCGTTAGGCGGGAGCGCAGGGTGCTCTCCATTCATAAATCCGGCCTCCCTCCCGCCCCTCCCTCCTACCTCTCTCAGACCCTCCTTCCCCTGGCTGGGCAGGGACCACCCCGGACCGGTGCAGGAGGTCGATGACCCCTGGGAGAGGAGGCGGAGACTCCATACCCCACGGCTCCCTCAGCGGGACCTCCCTGCACCTCGGGGGCTGCGGGAGGGGGGACGGCATCAGGAGCTCTAGGGGTTCCTCAGGAGCCCCGGGAGGTGTACAAAGTGGGATGGTGACCCAGCCTCCCAGCACCCAAGCTGCCGCCCTAGGCTGGGTCCCCCCATTTCCCGCCGCAGGTCCTTTGGAAACCCCATCCCCGGCCTGGGGGTCCCCCCTTGCCCCGCACCTGTTGGCTCCGGGACCCGGGCGTTCTCGGTTGCTGATCCTCGGACCTTGCGCCCAGGACTTCGCCTTCCTGCGAGGAAGGTTGTGCCTTGGGGGCCGGGGCTGGGGAGGGGGTCGGGGCAGCCCCCTCCCGAGGCTGCGCTGCCTGGCTCCCTGGCTGGGCGTGAGCCTCGGCTTCGCTCCGGCGCGGGCTGTGGCTTGGCGCGGGCTCCGCGGGGCTGCGCGCCGCGGGGAGGGGGCCGGGGAGGGCGGGGAGGCGGGGGGAGCCCCAGCCGGCCTCCGCTCAGTGTCTCCCAGCCCGAGACCCGCGGGGCGGAGGGAGGCGCTCATTCCTCCTCCCCTTGCACTTCACGCTGCCATCCCACCTCCATTCATGCGGCCATCGTTCATTCATGCCTTCCTCATCCATTCAACATTTACGCCCCCGGCCACCCGGCATTCAGGGCGCACCTCGTGTGTGCCGGGGGGGGTCCTGGGCAGCATGGGAGGGGCGGATCCCGGCCCCTCCCCTCCTCGCTGCCTCACCTCGCTGATGAGGATGGTGGCACAGGTGGGTCACAGGGGCGAGGGAATGCCCACACCGCCTCCAGCCAAGCTCGGGCTGCTGCGGGAGTGGCTGGTGCCCAGGGACGCCAGAAAGCCCTGCTCTCTTGTCTCCCGATTCTATCTGCCCCAAAGCCTCCTTTTTTGTTCATACCTACTTTTCCCCTCCCAAGGCAGGGACGTGAGGTGGAGGCAGGAAAGGGGGGAGTCAAAAGGGGCTCATTAATTCAACAAATTTTTACCAAGCTGTGTATCAGACAATATGCCTATGAAGGTACAGCTGCCACGTCTATAGGATGCTCAATGCATGATCTCATTTAATGTCACGTCAACCTGGTGAGCTAGGTGTTATTTTTCTCCTTTTACGGATGAGTACTGTGGATACACATGGTTCAGTCATTTGCCCAAGGTCACACAGCAGAGGCAGAGCTGGGGTCCAAGCCTACTCTCCTGTCAGATCTACCAGGCTCTTCCACCAGACAGAGGCTCCCCAACCTCCAATGCTCTCAGAGGGAGACAGGTAATTCACCTATGGTAGAGTTGGAAGGGGCCTTAGGTGGCCCTGGGGCACAGTAGAGTAGATAGGCTGAGCCAGGGGCTTCCTGGAGCAGGAACACAAATACAGCGACCTGAAGAATGAGAAGGTGGCCCTGCAGGGCGCTGGGTGACCCCTGGACAGGTGACCTTCCTAGCCCACCAGACTCCACACTCTTCTCTCACCCTCTGAGACTCACACTCTTCCTTTCCTGGGAGGTGGCTCCTGAGGTGTGACCACCATCTTCCCTTTACAGCCAGAGCCCTTTTCCAAGGTACTATGCAGACTGTGTGGGAGGGGGGTCAGCACAGTAACCTTGACTTCTGCAGAAGAGAGAGAAGGCTGAAGCTAAACCTGTGTGTTTGTGTCTCTGTATGTGGAGATGGAGGACTGGGGGTCTCCTTGTGTGGGATGTGTTTGCGTGAGTCTAGAGTGACAACATCTCTGTGTCTCGGTGTCTGTCTGTAAGGGGTGCGTGTGTGTTGGGAGGCTGTCTATCTCTCTTCTTGTGTCTCAATGTGTAACCGCGGCTTTGACTAGCGTTGGCTTCCCGTGTGCCCCTGTGAGTGTGGGAATGAGTGTGGGCATGCCTTTGTGTCATGACTCCACAAGTGTGCGAATGTGGAACTTGCTACATCTCCCACAGTGATGACATCCCTCCACGTCACCCCTCCCCCTAATCTGGAGCTGTGACCATGTGCCATGTAGAGGTTAGGGAGGGGGCTGCAGCATGTGTGGTAAAGGGGACGGACTGTGCAGGGACACTCAAATGACAGCTGCTGCAAAGAAGGTACAGCCAGGGATCTGGAAGGTACGGATGAGTGTGTCTGCGTGGGCTGTGGGCACTGGCTGAGCCCAGCACAACCCATCCCAGAGCTCAGAGCTCAAGGCCTCCCAGACACCCTGGGTTAGAGTGAGAAAGGGGCTCCCCGGGGTCCCCCTGAATCACTGTACAAGAGGGTACCTGTGGCTGAAATTTTCCCAATCCTACCGAGACTGGCACATGTCACAGACTCAGGCCCGTTTCTCTCCTTACAAAGGAACTTCAGTTGCCAACCTAAGCCCCTTTCTTCCTGGGTCCCCCAAAGATGACTGCCCCCCAGGACAAGGGATTACGAGTGGCTCCGTAAGGCAGGAGGATTCTTTCTCCCCCATCAGACCTAGGCAGCAGGAGGCTATGGGTTCCAGGTTCCTCTGGTTAAGTTGGCCCCACTTGACTACTACTGAGGGTGGAGAGGCTAATAATTGGGTCTAGCTGGGCATGAGGGAGGGGCCCCTTGGTGTCTGCTCAGAGGAAATCCTGGGAGCCCCAGAAGCAGCGATGCTCTTGAAGTCCCACAAGGACCTGCAGTTTTTTTGGTCCTTGGGCACAATAGTACTGGCCCCTGGGAGCCCCTGACAATATGCCTGTACCCAGGAGGGATGAGGGACCTGGGGTCTTCCATCTCCAGGCAAGGCCCTCAGCCTGGCGCCTGCTCTGCTCAGGGAGGGCCAGCTGGGAGTCTTGGCCTGGCTCCAGCTGTCTGTCATCAGGGGCCCACATGACCTCTTTCCTGGAACCAGCCGGCCTCTGCCTTGTTGATCTAATCCTGAGTTTCTGAGCCACAGGTCCCTGTCACATCCATCTCCAAGTGTCAGCCTGGGCACTGGCCCCAGGTGCTCGCTCCTGCTCCCTCCCAGTTCCTAGGTGACTTACAGTAACCTCTGTCTGGCTAAGACTAGAGCAATTGAAACATAATTGGGTTTGCACTTGCTGATGCTTCTGTGAGCCTGGGATGTGGAGTTGGGTTGGGGGAGACTCTGGGCAGGGGCAGGGGTGCTTTTCAGAAGGACAGAGGTCAGAAAACAGGGGATAGGGTCAGCAGGGCTGGGCTGTGGCCTAGAAAAGGCTCTGAAGGCTGGGTCTGGGGAGGCCAGTGAGGCATCTGTGGGGTTTTGGTTCCTGGGCACAATGGCATTGGCCTCTAGGAAGGCCTGGTCAGGTGCTCATACCCTGGGGAGGGACCCAGAGACCTTATGTCATCTGTGTCCAGGCTGCCTCTGTTCCTCCTTCCTCGTGGAGAGTCCCTTCTCCAGGTCTGGGTGGCCTGAAAGGACCAGTACCTGCTGGGTGAGCAGGGGCCCAGGAGTCAGGTGTCAGGCACCCTGGGAGACCTGGAAGCCAGGATGGGGCTGGAGGTGGGTTGGAAGAGCAGCCTCCTCCTCGCTCATGCCCATCCACATCCACTCACAGCAAGCGCTGATGGCCAGGCAGGCAGCAGGGGGACCTGCTACTTAGGCTGGGGAGACATCCTGCAGACCAAAAGTGAGGACAGCATCAAATGCAGCAGGGTGGGAGCCTGTGGAGGCAGGGCTAGGGCCGAGTGGATTTGGAACCAACAATGACAGTGTAGTGCTTGTGAGCCCCAGGAGCAGACCAGCCAGCCCCCAGAGTGGGTCAGGTCTATGTAGTAGGGAGCTCGGGGCCAGCTGCCAGTGATGTCATGTCCCCCTGTGTGCTCCTGGAAGAGTCACTTCCGTATCCTCTGTGACAGGCTGAATAATGACCCCCAAAATCCCATGTCCTGGTATAACTCAGAGGCAGAGCCTGTGACTAGGGTATAAGAGGCTTTGGATTCAATCCCCAGCACTGAAAAAAAATGGTTAATATGGTAAAATTTGGGGGGTTTGGAGTCTGGTGGCGTAGCTCAGTGGTAGAGTGCTCGCCTAGCATTGTGCAAGGCCCTGGGTTCGATCCCAAGCACTGGGGAAAAAAAAGGCCCTGAGGCCTGTGAATCTGCCACTGGCAAAGGGA